TATGTTAAAATATTATGTACAGTAAAAAACTGATCAATAAACCGAATTTAAAAAAATCAACGGTTAAATAACCCCTTAATTTATGACGATAACAAGTTGGAGTCAATTGTTTAGGAGAAGGATATTCTTTAAATTCAGTTTTCGTTTAGATCTTTTGGTCTGTTGAATCTGAAGAGAACATATGACGTAGGTAAAAGCAATGGGAAGTAATTGTTTTTAATGTGATAAAATCATTGGATCAGATGACAAGGAACAAATTAGCAAAAGTAAGCTCTGGCGTAAATTAAATCTAAATTACATCTTTAAAGTACTGCACTTTAAATAAACCCATAATTCTTTAAACAAATTGAATCTTTTAAATTGATTACTTTTAAATCTAAAAAAAAAAATAAAAAAAAATCAGGACCTACATTGTAGATTTGAGTTAGATTTCTCAGTTCAAATGGCAGGTTCTAATAGATGAGTACAGCAGTACCCTGTCATCAAGTGGAGAACTATTATGAATCATGAAGAAATTTTAATTTATATACATTGAATACACTTCCTTTTCACGGAAGCGTATTAGTGCCACATTGACATCTTTTATTTGATTTTTTTTATTTTCCACACTTTAATATGTAAATTTTACACTTTAATCCGTGAATTTTATACTTTAATCTTTCATTACTTACATGATTTAGGTCTAATATAGTCAAATGGCTGGATTTCAAAATTATTCTAGCACGAATACTTTCTGTTAACGACAAATTTAATGCATGGATTATATCGCGTGTAAAACGCTGCATAATATACACATTTTGTGTTTTATATATATATATATATATATATATATATATATATATATATATATATATATATATATATATATATATATATATATATATATATATATATATATATATATATATATATAAATGTTTTCTAAGTATACCTTAAATTATATCCTAAAGGTGAGTGTAACAGAGAGCTAGAGATTGAATGAAATAGGGCGATATTTTCAGCGTACACATGTTACGTTTTATCAATGAAAAAGGTGAAGATAACCTCTGCAAATAATACAATTCCGTGAACAGGGCATAGAACACAGCCCCCCCCCCCCCCCCGGAATTCCAATGCATGGTGGGAAGAGTTATCAATAAGAAGTAAGCATCCGCTAAGGCCTACATGTATATACGATGTTCTGAACAATGAAATTCAAGTAATCATTTATTCTGCTATATGGTAAAGGGTATACACATGTTTATAAAACAAATATATGGACAATTAAAAAGAAATGATATAATTAATAATAGAGAAATATCGTTATTAATGGTGTCTGTACATCACGGTTAAAGAAAAGAAGTGGAGAAGCAGATCCGTATGATGCATTGGAAAAAAAGCATTGGCTTTCCAGTTCAGATTTTGTTTTGAATACCACCTCTTACAAAAAAAAAGATTACATGTAACACTGCAATGCAATCTGCATCTAAAATATGTTCTTATCTTGCAGGCACATAACATCGGAGGGGGGGGGGTGGAAATCAGGGGGGCCTGCCCCCCAATTTTTTTCCAAACATAACTTTTTACTATTGAAAATATCATTTAAAGGCTGTCCCCCACTTTTTGTTGCAGTATACAGTCAAGTAAGGGTAATATATTAGTGTATGAATAAAACTTGGTGCTGAAAGAAGTTAAAACCTATAACCCCACCCCCGAAATAGGATTCTGGAGCTTGGGAAAAAAATGTTTCTTCTTCTTCTTATTTTGCTTGTCAAGTTTTTCAGGTAAGTTGAATTTTTTTTCTGGCTGACCCCTCCCCCTTTCAAAAACGATACTACGTCCCTGTTTTGCGTCTTCATGCGAAAAACAAGAAATATCGAATGGCATTTTTTTGTTGTTTGTCGTTGCATATTTTGAATATAACCGGCACTGCTAACCAGTAAATTCAGAGAATTACAAAATGTTTATGCTGTTCGTCTGGTTTCAATGGCGCATAGAAAATTAGCCCAGGTTTCCTCTTTAGTATTCTACACAACGGGCTATTTGAGTGAAATTCATAAATTCGTAACAAACTTCATAACAAACTCATCTTTCTTTAAGAGATAGATGAAAAAATGTGAGCTAGCACTGTAGCCATATTCCCCCATTGAAAAGGGCCCGAATTTTATATATTTGATAACACTTGTTATTCATATTCTAAAACTTTATTCGAAGACTTAATTGTGATTCGAATTCATATTCCTAAACTTGTGATTCATATTCTAAATCATTTGAATTATATTCGTGTACTTGTGTTTTTTTATGCTTGTTCATTGTAGTATACATGTACTTCAACGAACACGCAATAAAAAACACAGGTTTCGCATAAAAAACACTGGTATACATGTACTTGCATTTTTTATGCGAAAGTGAATTTCATATTCGAAAACATTTATATGCGAAAAATTGTTATTCAGCTTCGATAATCTTGTGAATTATATAGCATATGAATAAGAAAAATTTCGCATATGAAATATGAGATTACTGCATATTAATCATAAGATTATCAAATATGAATAAGATTTTGCATATAAATAACAAGTTTTCGAATTTGATTTTCGTATATAAATCACAAGATAATCGGATATTAATCACAAGATTATCGATTATAAATCTTTTTTTGGGGTGGGGGGTGGGGGGGTTGGGTTGGGAGTAACAGGCTTTGAATATAAATGTCAAGATTTCGAAAGTTCAGTTCAATTCCGTCAATTTCGCTCAAACCATATATAATGGTTCACGACGAACATAAAGTACAAACATGTACATGTATCTATTAAATTGTCAGAGGTACATATATACATAAATATGGAGAAAGGACAGACATATAATAATAACAGTGTATACATGTGCAATCCATACATGGAAGAACATCAGGAGAACTACTACAGGGAACGTGAACAATAACTTTTCGAAAACAAATCCCAAGATTTCGCACAGAAATCACAAGTTAATATGATTAACAATTATCAATTATAAATCAACAGAATTAGAATATAATTCGCAATGGTTTTTCCCCCTCAAATATATATATATATATATATATATATATATATATATATATATATATATATATATATATATATATATATATATATATATATATATATGTATGTATGTATGTATGTATGTATGTATTTCGCCAATTACAGAAGTGGAAATCAAATCATAATATTTATCAGTCTTATATATTTACAAATTAAATTATGTAGAACAAAATACATTTTAGATATTTTAAAACTTATGTTTTACATATACAAAAAAATTGACTTTACTATTACGTCACAATTAATTCGCTATTTGGCGCGATATTACTCATTGTGACGTCATTCTATTGTTCCCGCATAGAGATGTAGACAACATGATTGCAACAACAATCACATTGTTTCATGCCACTAAATGGCTTTACAGAAACTACATAGGTAAGAAATGTTTGTGGCAATTAAAAAAAAAATCAGCGAAAAACTTTTATTCAGTCAGAATGTAACAGAAATATCCATGTCATTTCTGCATTTATTATTTATCAGCACCACGTCCACGACGAAGAGGTCCCCATATACTCTTCCCAAATTATCCTGGAAGTCCAGTTGATCCCCCTCAGTACCTCAACAATCGGGTTCGCGGAGGGCCGGGAGGAGACCATTAAAGGTATGTTTATATATATAGCTCACCCGAGCTAAAAGAATATAGGTGTATATTTATTTCTTATATCAAGAATTACAAAATAAACATCTACAAATGCTATAAGTTTTTAAATTTAAAAAAAGATTGTGATAACTACAAAGTTATGTACATGTATTTCTTTTTAATATTTAGGTGTAAGTTGCGTTTAATAACAAAACATACTAGCCTAAAATATCTTAAATTGTTAGCAAATAAACTTAATATAGTGAAGTCTGATTATATGGAATAATTCCAATTGCACAAAGTATCCCTCCTTCATGTTCATTATAGGCTTATAACCATACATGCAAATGTAGACATGCAACAAAGTTGTTTCAGGTCTATAGCTTAAAGTTAAAAACATAGTATCGACATGTTTCAAGCAATCAAATTCAACCTTTAAATGTGTTTAGGAAATAGAAACCTTTGAAAAATAATTCTGACACTTTCAGCATGACCAAACTATATATAAAACCCAAATATATATTTTTAAAAAGTATTTTTTTTTTAAACTGTGAAATATGTGTTTTGTTTAATTGCAAAATTAGAGGGGGAAATGTCGGAACAAATTGAATTCAGTGTAGGAGAAAAGTTTCCCGTAGAGGTGCATAAAACTTTGTAATGCAGAAATCTCCTGAAAGAACCATTTTAAACAGACAGTAAAAATTTATACGGTTGCCACTGGATAGAAAATGATATCGATAACTTAAATAACCATGTTAATCTACCGCATGCGATTGAGAAAGCAAATCCTTTGATTTAAATTATTAATTTTAATTGAGACAGCTTTGTCCTATTTCTGCAATTTAAATTCAAGAATTGGAACATGATTTTGTGTAAGTGTACAGTTCTCAATAAGGTGTGTTTAGGAAAAAAAATATTCGTTGCAAGTAAAGATCTTTTTCCTTATGTCTGTGTCTGTCCACTGGTCCCACACAATATCTAATGCCTTATCTAACAGTCCAACGGTCAATTTGTGGACTGAGGTCGCCATCGGTTCACATCATTGACGTGTATGATATACATGTACTATTAAATAGAATACAATTCGTCCCTGGTTCACATGACGGGTGTAAAATTCATTATCATGTAAAAATTTGAATGTCAGATCTCAACGAAGACATTGTATAGTTCATTTAAAGATATGAGGCTCTAAAAATATCATATTTTCCCTTGCATTTTATTGTTCAAATTCATCTCTCTTTTTTTAGGGATACTATTTTGATAATCAAGAAATATGAAAGAATAATACGAGGAAAGACTTAATGAATTTACATTGTCCGGAAGTTGGTTCGAGGATGCACAGAAAGTGGTGGGATTGTGTAATCCCTTGAAATGTAATGGATAAATAATATGAAAAATAACGTGAAATCAACGTAATTTTATAGAAAGAATCTTATCATCATGGATGAAAGTTTAAAACATCACAACCCGAATCCGATTCTGACGGCGAATCCTCTGTCAAAATTGCTGTTCTGGTGAGTATAATTTCTTTCATTTCGCAAGAGTCAAGAGATATAGGACATGTAGTTAATTTGTATGGAAGTTGTACAGGTGATTGGGGACATGATCTGACACTGGCTTTCAAAAAGCTTAGAAACAAGTATACTTTTACAAAACGAGGAGGTACCTTGTCTGCTTGTAGAAGCGATTGTAATTAAAAATGTTAAATCGATTTTTTTCTCTCAATCAAATATTTTGGCCGGTACAGTCATGATTTCAGCTGGATTAAAGTACAGGTTACCGGCAGACTTGGAAAGTCCTTTCTGATCAGCACCCCTATCCTAAAATTCCGTACCCTAACGCTGTTCGACACCCTTCTGCATTCTCCAAGCATCTGTGCTTTAGTCAGTTAGTGGAGTAAAATTTATCTCAAGGGTTTTGTGAACCTATTTCCTTCACAATCCAAAAACTGTAACATGATCTCACAATTATAGTGAGCGCAACTCAACACTTTGAGATCTTAAAGCAAAGCCCAGGCGAAGAGAAAATATGGACAGCACATTGATCCTAATGATTTTTTTCACTATAACCTTGAGACTTAAAATCTGAATGCAAAACTTGATTGACCAAAATTTAGATTGAAGAAAATAAATGAATTTATTGTTGTAAATAAAGTGTGACATAATACTTTCTATTCGGCAGATTAACTACCAGAAAAAAATGTCAATGTGTGGTGATGCTACATTTGTACAAAAATGTTTACCACTGTCTCTGACAGTTAAACCTGTGACTGTCAACTCACAGTCAGTGCCATGCAGCAATATAACCCAACCCACCAACCCCTTTGCCTTTGAATAAAATTCATATTTAAAAAAAAAAAAAAACTGTTTTTGGAAGAATTCCTTTTGTGAATTTTGTTTTTCTCCGTGAAAAGCTGAAGTCGTGTTAGCTAGATGAAGACAGTTGACGTTATGAAATATACATGTACAGTATATCTTGATCATATCAGATATAATGTGTGCCAAGAATAACTGGTGTTCTTTTTATTCTGTGAGTGAATAGATAAACCATTTTCTAATACTTACAAGTTTCATTATAAGGAATTAACAATTGAAAATTGTCAGACAGAGAGCTTATTTTCATCAATTACCAGTTTACCACGAAAGAAAATGGAATAACAAACCCAAAGTTTTGAATGAACTGTATGATTAGAACACTCCCAAGGAATTCCAAATGCAAAAAGAGTGTCAGTCTCATTTCTGGCCAAGTGTTCAAATTATTATTTTATTTATAAACTAATGCAAGAAACAAGATAAACAACTGTAAGTATCTATCAGAAATATTCACTTGCCCTATTGGACAAGTAAGTTGACAGTTTCACTTGCCCGATCTGAGAATTTACTTGCTCCAGGCAATCGGACAATTGTTAATGATGATTCCTGACTTCTTGAACATTGTTGAATTTTTAGAATTTTTTCTGAACTATATTAGCCACTGTTATTTGTATGCTGTCAAAATTGGTGTCAATTTACAGATTCAACACACTGCTTTGTTATGTCATATCAGATTATAAATACATTGTAATACACTAAACATACTAAAACTGAAATGAATAGCATCTGTATTATAAATGGAATTCAGAGGTCATGCTATTTCACCTATAAGCTCAGTGTGCAATTATTTGACAATGTTGAATGGCAGACTTGTGTCTAAACATGAGATATGATAGGTATATAATACATGTGTGTGTGTATAAATGCATGTTTTAAATGTCTTAATCATGTGAATATGGGGCTGTCACATTCTTACATCTTCACCTTATAAGTTAATTTCCTTTAGAGTTTGGACTCTCTCATTTCTCAATGAAAATCAGAATAAGGTATTATCTTCAAATCCTTTCCAAACTGCATGCCTGTGCCAACAACATCATAATTTTGAATCAATTAAGATTATACATATATATTTATATCAGAAAGGTTGACAAGAGTGAATGGGCAATAAGATGTTGAAGTAGTGCATATTATCATGATTATATCAGTCACGGACATAATGAAATGCAATTATGTTCTTAATTCACCAGTTCAAATGAAAAATTATTTACGAATTCGGAAATAAAAACTTAAACATTTTATACATGTACAAGTTACATATATATATATATATATATATATATATATATATATATATATATATATATATATATATATATATATATATATATAGAATAAGCTCACATGCACAAGTGCAACAGCTTTAATTAATAGAACATTATAATAACTACCTAAACAAAATCTTCATTAGAACATTATTGATCCTATTCTACACAAAAGAAACAATATTTTAATGAGCATATTTATGAAATACTTAGGGTTGGGTAGGAGTGGAGGGCGTCTTTCGCACTTATGGCAGCAAAACTTCAAATGACTTGAAACCCCCACATTACAAAACAATACAGACAAAAAATAGCTACATGTATATACATAGCATGATTTTCACCTATCAAACTGCAAAAACTATAAACAATTGATCCTCTATACTGCCACATCCCCGAATCCTGTAAGCAAAACAATGTGTTTACCATAACTTTTATTATATCTGTAATTTTACAAGTTACTGAGAGTTCAAATTTATATATTGTTTATTTTCACAAGTTGTGTTGTGTCCATGCATTTGCAGTAAGATAAAACGTAACATAGTAACATATTCTTGTAATTTCTCAATTTTTTTTCCAAATTTCAACTGAAAAGTGTATAATTTATGAAAAAATAACCAGTTCATCAATTTGCATGATATCAAGTTGCTTGATTGAGTTGGTGATAATATTGGCATTATAAGAAAAGAAACACATTCATTATTGTTCACAAAGCCCTCTGTCATTTCTGTATTAGGTTTGTCTGTAAACTATTTTTCAAAATGCTACTTATAATTTTCCTACAGGTTATATTTAAGTTCAGTTTCATTAGCACTTGGAACACATACACCGACAAATGGAAAGGAATATAATCTTTATATATCATTTTCTGATTTGTTGTTGATGTTGTGATTAACCCCCCCCCCCCCCAACCCAACCCAAAATAAAAAAAAAAAATCTTACAAAATTTCAATATGGTACTCCTCCCTCAGTTGTAATTTCATTTCAATGAAACAAGTTTAATGAGACATCAACATACTTTGGCAAAATGTGAAAATAAAAATCTGTGTCAAATCCAGATGTAATAAAATTATTTTTTTTCTCCTCCACTATCCTCATAAGTACAGACCAGTAGAACTCAGGGTTGGCTGGGAAATACCAGTGGTGGGAATTACCAGTGGAAAATACTGGTATTTCCTGTCCTGGGAAATACTACAAATTTTCTCTAAACTGGGAAATATTGGGAAATACTGGGAAATACAAAGTTAAAGTTTTTTATTTCTTTAATTCATTCAGTCTTATGCAAAATTCAAAAATAAAATAAACACAAAAAACAGAGACTAGAGCTGGATAAAAAAGTGAACCCTTAATATCAACATGTACCTTTGTTAGGTGGATGAACCCAATATTCCGAAAAGGCTACTCAAGAAGATTGGAGGTAGATGATATGTTCAATGTTACAAACGAGGACTCATCAGAAGAACTCGGAAAGAAACTTGAAAGGTAATCTGCCAGTTTTTAAATGATCAATTATGACCGATTTACAAATTCTTCATGTTCTTTGTGCCATAATTTGATCCACATATTTATTCAAAGAATTTAATTTTTTTGTTGGTAAAAATATTGTTAAAGTTTTTATTCACATGCTATTTTTTTCATTTAAAGCAGCATCCAATGGACGTATTAATAGACTTACAATGGTTAGACTATAATAGATGATTGCTGTGCTGTTTTTGCAAGAATCCTTACCCTGCTTAATTGAACAAAAGTTTACTTCTCCATAAAGAATGGATTTTTTGTAAAAGAATGATAATTACCTTAGAAATTTGCTAGCCAGTTTATTAGTTCATACATGTCATAGTTTAAATAATTTTACAAATCAGATCTTGATCTATAAAAATGTTGGCCTATGTCAAAGATTATCATGATTATACATCAATATTTGAGTATCGGGTACTTATGAATTCTTATGAAGTCAAGAGTTAACCAAACTTTAAAGTGACCAAGCAAGTGGATCTATTGAAAAATGTTTTGGTTCATCAGAAGAAGAGATAGATTATTTAAAGTTATCTTGTTTATCATTGCAATATTTGTGATACTTTAATTTTTTATTGCATTGTCTGTCCCAAAGTGCTATCATCCAGCATTTTCCCTTTATTTCAAAGAAAAAGGTTAATGAGATTATGAACAAAATCTCTGTGGAGTTACAACAATTATTTTTTAAATTTTTGATTTCTAAGTGGCATTTTTTATCAACTGAATTTGTCAATTTGGCCAGTAGCCAGTTCTTAGGGAAAATGCTGATCATCACCACTTTTTGTATCATTTCTCAAAAATCAATAATTATGCCCCCCCTCCCCCCTCGAAGAAGGGAGGACATATTGTTTTGCTGCTGTCTGTCGGTCTCTCTGTCTGTCCACCAACAGTTTCCGTCCATTTTCTTTGCAGAGGTCGCACATACTGAAATGAAATTTTTTACACAGATTTATCATAAGAATATCTAGGTCTAGTTCTGTTTTGGGTACGATTGAGCAATTTTTGACAGAATTACATCCCTTGAACTTTGAAAAATTCCAATTATTTGCAGTTTCTGTTCATTTTCTTCGCAGAGATTGCACATACTGAAATAAAATTTGGTATACAGATTTATCATAAGAATGTCTAGGTCAGGTTCTGTTTTGGGTATGATTGATCAATTTTTGACAGAGTTATGCCCCTTGGACTTGAAAAAATTCCAATTATTTGGGGAGGGGGGCATAAGTGTTTCACAAACATCTCTTGTTTAAATTTTTGTGATATGATGCAGAAAGTGAATTTTTTGTATTTCATTGAGTTTTTAGCAATATAGATTTTAAGATCACAAGGTTAAGAGTCAAACTACTCTAGACATAGGAAGACAATGACTGAAAACGTTGACGCTTAATATCTTAAGACTTTTTGCTTAATATACATGTATATCAAACATGTTACACGGGTTCTCCCTAGGGAGTAGATGACCCCTGTTGATTTTGAGGTAACAAGCTCAGAGGATAAGGGTCATTCAATGAACACTAGACATAAGAAGATATTTTGAGCTCAATATCTTGAGAACTATTTGCATTACAGACATCGAATTTGGTACACTGGTATATGTACCCTCTAAGACGGAAATTACCACTAATGATTTTGAGGTCTGATCGTGATCAAACTTGGTATTATGTATTCCCCTGACTAGTAGATTACCAATTGTTTTTACCATCATTACAGAAATTCTAAGTTTAAAGTTGTTTCCTTCTAATATTGCCACACAGGGGGTGGGGTGGGGATTTATGTTTCTCAAACATTTCTTGTTGACCTTTGACCTTGGAGTTTGGCCTTAATATAAACCTTTAACCTTGGCCATGAGCTGCGATGTGATGGCATCAGTGTTTTACAAACACATTTTTATTTAAATTAAATTATACAGCTAGCTGAAGAAGATTTTGTTTTAATTTTCAGGGAGTGGAATATTGAACTAGCCAAGTCAAAGAAAGTGAATAAGTCTCCCAGCCTTTCCAAATGCATAGTCAGGATCTTTGGTGTCCAGTATGCCTTATTAGGAATCATTGTGTTCATAGAAGTAAGCAAATACAGTTTCTTAATTTGAGCTGCAGATTATTCCATTTTCCACACTAATTTTATGTGTTATCATACTTTTGTCAAAAAACCCTCTACCACATTTTTGACAATTTGACATTGAAATCTCTTTGATCATGCTGATATTCCTTATTTTTTAAAAAAATTATTTTGCTACAATCAACTCTAACTCTCTAAGGTCATAACTTGATATTATTGGATAGCAAATTTGTATTATTCAAAGAAAGCAGAAATGTGAAACAATTAAGGTTTTACTTTTTTGAGGTCATCATTTGCATCCAAAGTTAATAGTTTTGGAGCAGGTACCATTCCGAAGTAATTTTCAGCACCACTTAGACCAAACTTCCATTGAGGATACAGAACATTTAGGAATGAATACTTCCTGAGTTCTTTGAGTGCTGCATCTGATCTCCATATTCTTTTTTTGATGAATGAACAGTTTAAATTTTTTAGAGCAGGTTCCTTCTCAAATATCTAGTAAGCCATACTGGAACTAAACTTCATGGATGAGTTAAAGTTAAATCCTACTTTGAGGCTCATAGAGCTGGTGCTTCTTCCACATTGGTGGATGAGAGTCATTGCCCCTGTACATGAATATTAAATAGAAGCATCCACTAAGGACTGAACTTCCTTACCCCCCTTTTACTTGTACCCCTGCTTGAAAAGCAGGGGAAATATAGCGATGTGCGTGTTCCAACGTCTGTCCATACCTCTGTGTGTCTGTTACACTTGGGGTAGCCATGCCTAATATCTGCAACTCCTCCTATACTGCAGAAAAAATTATTGAGTCTTTCATAGAATCTTTATTATAAAGTGTCATTGTGCACCTCCTATTTTGCATTTCGATCAGACAGACATTTGGGGTTACCGGTACCCATAGTAAAACATGGACTTTGCCATTATACTGATATGGAAATGGGAGTATCATTTTTTGAGCTCATGCAGTACTTACAATACCTCTAATTTTTGAACCTTGACAGGTAGTACAAACAAAATTTCATTTAGATTAATTAAAATTAAACCACTGTTCTTGAGTTATTAATGCAGCACGTTTTAATTTTATTTTAAATATCTTTAAAGGAAGCCACAAAGGTTGTACAACCTCTGCTGTTAGGACAACTGATTCGTTACTTCACCCCTAATTCCACCATATCACAAATGGATGCATACCTTTATGCGTTGGGAATGAGCTTGGCTGCCATTGTTCTTGCTGTTTTTCACCATCCTTACTTCTTCACAGTTCAGCGAATTGGAATGCAAATCAGAGTGGCTTGTTGTTCGCTTCTGTACAGAAAGGTATTCATTGTACATACATTGTACATACAGTATCTACTTTTATTGTCAACTTTAAATTTACAAATCTACTTTTATTGTCAACTTTAAATTTACAAATACATGTATAAATATTTGCTGATTTTATAATTGTTTTAAAGATTTTTTTGGCAGTGATGAATTGTTATTCTTTTGCAATGAATAAATATACTTTGAAAAAGTGATTTCAATTTTTTTTATCCTTCAGTGGTAAAATTCATATTTCTTCTTTTTTAATTTTTTTTTTTTGTATTTTATTTTGTAAACAATTCTATTTCTAACAAGTGGGGATTGCGTTCATTTAGAACTTTTCTTTTTATACCTCTGTTTTGATGCAATTGCGAAAATTCAGCAAAAGTTAGACAAATGGCTTAAGTTTCTTCATCATACAGTAAATAATATAATTTGTAAATAATCTGCTATTTTCAGGCTTTACGATTAAGTAACAGAGCAATGGGGCAGACAACAACAGGTCAGATTGTCAACCTGATGTCCAACGATGTCAACAGATTCGACACGGTAATTATTTCTGAATCATTGACTTATTTTGGACTCTACGTGATTCAGATAGATTTCTATGCATGTTCCTTACACTTTTTTGCTTGAATGATGCATTGATGTTCATTTGTCCAAACTGAAGTTCAACTTTTGGCTCTCACAGTAAAACTCATTAAATAAAACATGGATATTGCAAATTCATGGATATAGCAAGGTTTTGGGGGATCCTGGCAATAAAAAAATGGATATAACAAATTTACAGATAACAAATTGATTTTGTGTCCTGTAGAGGTTAAAAAATAATAAAATTTACTTCTTTTATTTAAGAAATAAGATTTCATTTTTAGAGTTTCATTGGGATATGACATGAAGTTGGTCACATGATCAAATTCTATAATGCCCGAAGGGCGTTAGAGTAGATTTGATCACGTACAGACTTCATGTCATATCCCAGTGAAACTCTAAAAAATGATTTTTCATTTCTTATATTTATATTTTACTTTTATTTGTGTTACAAGGAAAAATAGGCACTATTTAGACTTTGTTATGGAAATGCAACATTACGTACCTATGACGTCATGTGACGTAACAATCAGAACTTTCCAAATGGCTCGTGCAGTTTGCTTTCCATACACAAGAAAGTCTGATCATGTGACCAACTGCATGTCAATGAAAATTGAAAGTCAATTTAATTTAGTATTGTCATATACGGAAAGACATCTGCTGATGTAAATATAATGAATTTTGTACATGTATGTAAGATCTCACAATTTTAAATACTACATGTAATCAACATTTTTATGCCCCTGGATCGAAAGATCCCGGGGGTATATTGTTTTTGTCCTGTCTGTCTGTTTGTCTGTTTATCTGTTTGTCCGTTTGTCTGTTTGTCTGTCTGTCTGTTGTCAACTTTAACCTTGCCCTAACTTTTGATTGGTTGGAGCTATGACTTTCATATTTCACATGTGTATTCCTTGTGACAAGACCTTTCTTTGGGTACCATCATATTTGACCTTTTGACCTTGACCTTGTAGTTTGACCCACTTTTGCAAAATTTTATGAGACTTTAACCTTGGCCATAACTTCTGAACAGTTGGTGCTTGGGGTTTTCAAACTTCACATGTGTATTCTTTGTGACAAGGCCTTCCTTTGGATACCAACAACTTTGACCTTTTGACCTTGGACTTTGACCTACTTTTGAAAAACTTTAACCTTGGCCATAACTGTTGAACAGTTGGTGCTTAGGGTTTCAAACTTCACATGTGTATTCCTCATGACAAGGCCTTCCTCTGGATATCAACCACTTTGACCCTTTGACCTTGACCTAGGAGTTTGACCTACTTTTGAAAAACTTTAACCTTGGCCATAACTTTCGAATGGTTGGAGCTAGGGCTTTCATACTTCACATATGTAATCCTTGTGACAAGACCTTCCTTTGAATACCAACCACTTTGACCCTTTGACCTTGACCTAGGAGTTTGACCTACTTTTGAAAAACTTTAACCTTGGCCATAACTTTTGAATGGTTGGTGCTAGGGCTTTCATACTTCACATATGTAATCCTTGTGACAAGATCTTCCTCTGGATACCAACCACTTTGACCTTGACCTTGACGTTTGACTTTTATTAAAAAAACTTTAACCTTCGCCATAACTTTTGAACAGTTGTATCTAGGTCTTTCAAATTTCACAGGTGTATTCCTCGAGACAAGATATTTCTTGGGTATCAACATTTTTTATCTTTTGGCCTGGATTTTGACTTGCATTTGAGAAACTTTAACCTTCGCCATAAGCTGCCATACGGGGGCATCAGTGTTTCACAAACACATCTTGTTTTTATAAGTATTTATAATTGAAACTTAATTCAACATAAAACTTTTTTTCTCCTTCATTTGGTAGATTTTGTAATTAATACTTCCTTGAACATATTCAGTAGTCAAACTTGAAGGAAATTGTATATACTGCGAAATTGCTAAAAATATTTAACAAATTGGTTAATACAGGATTTAATGAATTACGGATATAGCATACTAAAATCACAGGTCCCCTGAACTTTGCTACATGTATAACTGAGTTTTACTGTAATTCCAGACAATAACCTAATACTAATTTTTCTCTGGTATTTTTTAATGTGTGCAGATTTCTTTTGCAGTAATGTTTTTGAAGTAATACATATACTGGTATGTGTTCAAGCACTAAACCTTGACTGGTAGTGATATATTTTTTCTCTACTTTTACCTTGTATTCAATGCACCTGACCCTTTGACCTATCAACCACAAATATTACACATGCATTCACTTTTTAAAGTTTTAATCAACAAAAACTTATTATAACAAATGAACCATTTCCTTTGTTCTCTACCCTTTCACATGTCAAAACATTTTTACAGTAGAGTTATATTCAATTGGAGATGCAGAATTAACACATGAATTTAATATGGTGATGGTAAATGATGAATTTTCAAAACATGTGATATTTACATAAATTTACACCTATGAGTATAAAAAAAGGAAATAAATGATCTGTAAATATAAAATTGGAACCTATTAATAGATGTAATCAAGAAAAAAGGTATAGTCCCCCCCATCACCCCCCCCCCCCCCCCCCCCCCCTATAGCAAGGTTTTGGGGGATCCTGGCAATAAAAAAATGGATATAACAAATTTACAGATAACAAATTGATTTTGTGTCCTGTAGAGGTTAAAAAATAATAAAATTTACTTCTTTTATTTAAGAAATAAGATTTCATTTTTAGAGTTTCATTGGGATATGACATGAAGTTGGTCACATGATCAAATTCTATAATGCCCGAAGGGCGTTAGAGTAGATTTGATCACGTACAGACTTCATGTCATATCCCAGTGAAACTCTAAAAAATGATTTTTCATTTCTTATATTTATATTTTACTTTTATTTGTGTTACAAGGAAAAATAGGCACTATTTAGACTTTGTTATGGAAATGCAACATTACGTACCTATGACGTCATGTGACGTAACAATCAGAACTTTCCAAATGGCTCGTGCAGTTTGCTTTCCATACACAAGAAAGTCTGATCATGTGACCAACTGCATGTCAATGAAAATTGAAAGTCAATTTAATTTAGTATTGTCATATACGGAAAGACATCTGCTGATGTAAATATAATGAATTTTGTACATGTATGTAAGATCTCACAATTTTAAATACTACATGTAATCAACATTTTTATGCCCCTGGATCGAAAGATCCCGGGGGTATATTGTTTTTGTCCTGTCTGTCTGTTTGTCTGTTTATCTGTTTGTCCGTTTGTCTGTTTGTCTGTCTGTCTGTTGTCAACTTTAACCTTGCCCTAACTTTTGATTGGTTGGAGCTATGACTTTCATATTTCACATGTGTATTCCTTGTGACAAGACCTTTCTTTGGGTACCATCATATTTGACCTTTTGACCTTGACCTTGTAGTTTGACCCACTTTTGCAAAATTTTATGAGACTTTAACCTTGGCCATAACTTCTGAACAGTTGGTGCTTGGGGTTTTCAAACTTCACATGTGTATTCTTTGTGACAAGGCCTTCCTTTGGATACCAACAACTTTGACCTTTTGACCTTGGACTTTGACCTACTTTTGAAAAACTTTAACCTTGGCCATAACTGTTGAACAGTTGGTGCTTAGGGTTTCAAACTTCACATGTGTATTCCTCATGACAAGGCCTTCCTCTGGATATCAACCACTTTGACCCTTTGACCTTGACCTAGGAGTTTGACCTACTTTTGAAAAACTTTAACCTTGGCCATAACTTTCGAATGGTTGGAGCTAGGGCTTTCATACTTCACATATGTAATCCTTGTGACAAGACCTTCCTTTGAATACCAACCACTTTGACCCTTTGACCTTGACCTAGGAGTTTGACCTACTTTTGAAAAACTTTAACCTTGGCCATAACTTTTGAATGGTTGGTGCTAGGGCTTTCATACTTCACATATGTAATCCTTGTGACAAGATCTTCCTCTGGATACCAACCACTTTGACCTTGACCTTGACGTTTGACTTTTATTAAAAAAACTTTAACCTTCGCCATAACTTTTGAACAGTTGTATCTAGGTCTTTCAAATTTCACAGGTGTATTCCTCGAGACAAGATATTTCTTGGGTATCAACATTTTTTATCTTTTGGCCTGGATTTTGACTTGCATTTGAGAAACTTTAACCTTCGCCATAAGCTGCCATACGGGGGCATCAGTGTTTCACAAACACATCTTGTTTTTATAAGTATTTATAATTGAAACTTAATTCAACATAAAACTTTTTTTCTCCTTCATTTGGTAGATTTTGTAATTAATACTTCCTTGAACATATTCAGTAGTCAAACTTGAAGGAAATTGTATATACTGCGAAATTGCTAAAAATATTTAACAAATTGGTTAATACAGGATTTAATGAATTACGGATATAGCATACTAAAATCACAGGTCCCCTGAACTTTGCTACATGTATAACTGAGTTTTACTGTAATTCCAGACAATAACCTAATACTAATTTTTCTCTGGTATTTTTTAATGTGTGCAGATTTCTTTTGCAGTAATGTTTTTGAAGTAATACATATACTGGTATGTGTTCAAGCACTAAACCTTGACTGGTAGTGATATATTTTTTCTCTACTTTTACCTTGTATTCAATGCACCTGACCCTTTGACCTATCAACCACAAATATTACACATGCATTCACTTTTTAAAGTTTTAATCAACAAAAACTTATTATAACAAATGAACCATTTCCTTTGTTCTCTACCCTTTCACATGTCAAAACATTTTTACAGTAGAGTTATATTCAATTGGAGATGCAGAATTAACACATGAATTTAATATGGTGATGGTAAATGATGAATTTTCAAAACATGTGATATTTACATAAATTTACACCTATGAGTATAAAAAAAGGAAATAAATGATCTGTAAATATAAAATTGGAACCTATTAATAGATGTAATCAAGAAAAAAGGTATAGTCCCCCCCATCACCCCCCCCCCCCCCCCCCCCCCCCCCCCCCCCCCCGTGCACACACACAAATTAGTCCCCCCCCCCCCCTTCACAAAAAATATGTAGTATGTACTGCATACAGGGTTATTTTAGCCCCTTGTTATTTTCAGCCTTTTACACTTGCATACAATTTTCCCTGATTAAATTACCCAAACACAGTTGTGTTTAAGAGTTAATGCTGTCTTTTTTTTTTTCAATTCATCCCGTTTTAAATTTGCCCGCTTGCAACAAAGGCGAAAGGGGCAAAAGCAAAAAAGGACCAAAAATTTCCCTGTTTACCATAGTGTACAGACAGTATTACTTTTTTGTGTACTTTTGACAGACTAACTAAGTTTATTCTTTCCACTTTGTGTCATTACAGAAGGATGATAAATGGATCATGAGAAAATTTAAATAAAACTTAGGCAATGACTGTGCTGTCTTAACATTCAAAGTTTGATTAGAATACATTGATTTCGCATTTTTGTGTACATATGTGCAGTGTATGAATTGGCAAAAAATCTGTGTCTGTCATCTTAAAGTTGGGAAAATCTTCTTTCCTGTTCAAATTTGTCGTATATAATCACATTATTAACATTAAATTTATTACTTGTTCTGATGTTCTTCATAAAAAAAACCTTTCATTTAATATCACTTGATTAAAAACCCACCAACAATTTAGTCTTTAATCATTGTTTATATCAAAGTTCTACTTACATAGTATATATAAATCACAAATTTAAAAGATTTTCAATTCATTCTGTATTTAGTTTATGTGAAATATTTATTATCATAGAAATTACAGCATTTTGCTATATACATACAGATGACTAGTATTTTAGAATGTATAAGATTTCAAAAAACAAAAAGATATGACTGCATGCATGTTAAATAAATATGATTCATGCCAAAGGTTTTTACAGTATGATCCTTTAGAAATTTAAAAATATTGCAAAAATGTTTCCCCTGATTTCTCATTATAACCTTTTTTTCCTATACAGGCAGTGATGTTTATTCATTACATCTGGATTGGTCCGCTGCAGGCCTTATTTGTTTTGGTTATTCTGTGGATGGAACTTGGCCCCTCGGCCATCGCTGGATTTGCCGTCCTTCTTTGTCTTGTACCAGTACAGAGCCTGATGGGAAAACTATTTGCAAACCTCAGGTGACTCATTAAAATAAGAAATCTTAGAAAACTAAGAAATCATACTTATATAGGCATTTATTGTGTATAACTTTACAAAGATTTGTTAAATTGATTTAGTTCACATGTTTTTAAGTTTTTCTTTTACATTTGAAACAAAGAATCATTATAGGAGTTGAATCTTACCTCTTAGAGATTTCCATTATATCATGGATTATATTTTTTTAAAGCATATATATGGAGAAAAATATGATCAGTTTTGCTACAAATTTTATCTCTGATAGTTCTGGTTTAAATATCCAGTTTGACTTGACAGGCACAAGACAGCAGTCCACACTGATGAGAGAGTAAAAGTGATGAGTGAAATAATCTCAGGGATGAGGGTTATCAAAATGTACTGCTGGGAAAAGCCCTTCGGAGAGTTAGTCGCCAAAATCAGAAAGTAAATTTTACCTTAAATTTCTTTGTAATGATTTTAAACTTTTTGCAAAAGAGTTTATTAAATTGAAATAAAGGGGAAATGACCCCGAGGTTAAGAAACTGAGAAATATTGCATACAGTGGAAACTAGTTATCCTTAACTCGATAGGACTTAAGAAAAAAACTTTGAAATATCTGAAGATTCGAAATGTTGAGATAAAATACTTTAAGAAAAAGTGATTGGGACTTTCATCTCACTAAGACATATCCATGGTATTCCAGATATTGATCAATGTTCAAAATACCAAAGTTCAATTGTATATAAAATTATAATTTTGGTGTATATATTGGGGATGTGTGAATTTATTGGTATACCGGTATATTGTGATTTTTTTATTGTAAAACAATGAAACAATGGCATCCAAGCATGCTTTATTAATATATATTAAATAAAAATGAAAAGGATGAAGTTATGTTTTCCCACTATATTTGTTAGAAAAATCATGGAAATTTATTTAAAATCAGAGTAAAAATTATGTGTAAAAATATCGTGATATTATTGTGATATTTTTTGGAAAAATCGTGATATATCACAATACAAAATTTTTTAACGAATTCCATCCCTAGTCTCTCTTTCTCTTTCTGTATATATAATTATGCATGCAGTTGAACATCAATACCTAGAACACTGATATCTCAAATACCATAGATATGTTGAAGTGATTTGGAAGTCCCAACGACTCATTCTTTAAGTATTTTACCCTTGATATCTCAAAGTTTTTTTTCTCATTTCCATCGAGTTTAAGATAACGAGGTTTGACTGTATATATAGATGTATATATATACTTATGTTTTTGTATATGTTTTGTTTGTTGACAACAACTCTAGAATTTATTAGTATAGATTTTACTTGTCTATAGTGTTTAAATACATTATTGGAGTAGGCATATTGTTATACACTGTAATCATACATGTACATAATTATGCAAGACAAGAATTTTATTTTCCACAATTATTAATACTTGAATAATATGCAGGATAGATAATACTCGAAGGACCAAGGTCATATTTGATAATATGCATTAACCAGAGCTGCCTTTAGATGGGGGATGTGGGAGGGATGGGGTGTCAAAGAAATTTTTCTTTTAGAGACTGTTTTTAAAATATTGAATTTCAGAAAAGTAGGGTGAATTCTGCATTAGATCACAAGTGTTTTACAGCTTTTGTTAATTTATATGTCTAGCATTTTAAGTTGCATGTTCATTATTTAGGCATGTTTTATTTTAGACAGTCAGGTGATATTTATTGACCTATACATATAATACATATATTTGCATGCTGCTCGATCTATCTAGGCTATCAAAGCTTAAAATGGAAGATTTTATTAAGATCACATACAAAGGAATGAAAAGCAAGCATGGCAAGTATCCCTATAATTGCATCCCTATAGATGCTAATGCAGCATAATCATTTTTTTTTTCAGGATATTAAACTAACTTGAAGTCTTTGCTAGCCATGTGGGCTACTAAACCTGCAATTCAGGGGGCCTACATCAAAATTTATTCACCCATAAATTATCTCACCTATTAAATAAAAAAGATTGTTTTTTTATTCATAGGCTTCTAGTTGAACTTTTCTATATGTTTTAACATTATGCACAACTTACCTAAATCTGAAATGGGAATCTTCTGTTACATGGACAAAAATGGTTATGGAATCATAGATGCAGGGCACATGGCACATTTTTGCTCACAAATAACATTGATAATTTTGGGTTTCTGGTGCTTACTGACCTGTTAATGCTAAATTGTGTTTGTCACAATCACTTGGAACTTTAATTGGATTTACTTCTTACTGATAATTATAAAGTGTCTTACTAATTATGAAATTTTTCAAAAGAAAAATACGAAACATTTGGTCAAAATTGGAACACAAATATTATTATCGTAAATTTTCTAATCACCATGTGGGCAATTCAAACATGATTTAAAGTTGCCCACATGAAAAATTACTTGAAAATTAAATTTTGATATCTGTGCAACCATATTCTTTGGCATGCAACAAAAAAATATCTTTCACAAGTTTCAACAAGGATAGAAAATTCCAAAAGGTTTGTCCTTATGAACTTGTATTTCCAAAAATAGAATAGAAAGAAATTTGGACAAAGAAAACAAAAATTGATTGAGAACAATTCCATTTCATTAACAACTGACTTAATCCACCTGTTATTTGAATATAAAATAGAAATTGTAGTTTACTGTTAACTGCTTCACAGCTTTTTTTTAATGACTGGAAAATATCCATCACATATGCCAAATTAAAAATGTTTTTAAAGGTTAACAGTTGTCAGATTGTTTATAGAGACTCTTTATAAAGTCAAATTCCAGTGCTTGGTAGAGTTTATTAATACCGTAAAAGGGGAAACTTTGTGACGATGTGGAAATGTTGACAATATTGACAAATTTTTCTAATAATTGTCAAAGTTTCCACTCGTCAGTGTTCACATTCCTGTTAAAGAGCACAGTTTAAATACTTTTAGATCGTCTTATGTTTCCACTCACTATTTTTATAATATACCGAAATAGTCAAACTTTCAACCCTTCAATATAACCACTTTTACAGTATTACATCTTAGGTGTACATACCCTGAACATTTGTCTACCTATTCATCTGTCTTTTGATGAATCATATTATGGTCCATCCATCTTTTTGTTTCTTTTTTCTTTGTGTAGATTATATCATTTGCACATTGAGGTCTAGAATCATGAAACCTTGTTTGTTGCACTTAAGGGGAAAGATAATTGTTTTAATCCAAGAGTAGGTCACTGTGATCGCATTTGGGAAGGAGTGAGCTGCAATGGCCAGATAGATTGGTTGGTAGATTATTTGTATATACATGTAGTACATGGTGTCTTTGTGTGAATTCTGGTCTGGTCTGGTTACATTTCTGCTCTTCTGTTTCAATACAATTCTGTTACTATATACTGATACCAGCTGCATCATTCCCTGTTGAATTTTTTTTTTTTTTACTAGAAATGACATCTATGAAAAGTATGAATATTAGGTCAGGAAAATTTAAAGGTCTATAGCATGTATAGTATCAAAAGGAACTTTATAGGTACCATCGATATTTATTTCTTTTGTATGTGTTAGTTCTATAATCACTGATCACATTTTACATACTTTTTGTCTTCCAGGCTTGAAACTGATCGCATTAGAATGAGCAGTAACATACGAGCCCTAATTTTAGGACCTTTCTTAGTCTCCATTAAGTTTATAATTTTCCTCACCTTTGTGATATATGTGTACACGGGAGGGGCCATGACAGCTGAGAAGGTTTTCATAACTATCGCACTTTACCAGGCAGTTCGGTTATCCACGACCCTTTTTATCCCATTTGCCTTCCAGTTTTTATCTGAGAGCAGGGTTACGGTTGAAAGGCTACAGGTTAGTGAATGTTTACTGTGAAAATAACTTTTTATGTTCTGGGACAAGTTTTTCTTTTGTGGTCATCAGGCCTCAGATATCAGAGAAAAACAATGTACATAAAAAAGAAATTAAAAAATCTTTATACTGTTAAGAGTTAAAAGGTATACACGTCAGTAAAACTTCTCTTATCTGGATGATGTATATTCCAAAATCTTGTCTGTTAAGATGTAAAATATAAGTTCCTTTCAGTAAATACAATTATAACATGCCCATCTTAAGATGGGACATATGGTTTGGTGTTCATGTCTGTCCTTCTGTCTGTCTGTTAGCTTTTTGTGTCTGGCTCATAACTTTAATGCTGTGAGGCCTAGAATAATCAAACTTTGTCAGTTGATACATCTTGAGTTGAAGGTGTGTTGCACATTAAAAGTATATTGCTATGACATTTAATTAAGATGAAATGGCCAAATATGGAGAAGTCCTTTCCGGCTCATCACTGGAAAACTATTACACTTAGAATTATCGAACTTGGTAAATTAATGCATTTAAGGTGTGTCACATTCTACTTGAAGGTCACTGTGACCTTTAATTAAGGTGACACTTTAAAAGAAACTATGTTTTTCAGTTACACAATCCCAACAGATGAAAGAGTATTGAGAAGTAATTATATTAAAAAATGTTTATTCAAGAAATACATGTACACATTTTTCTTGATATACTTTACAGCAATATACAACAAATATATAATTTCTTTTGTGTCAATAACAAGAGAAATTCCACTTGTCCCATGGGGTGTAATTATCAAGCAATGGTATTTCAAGGGGGTTTTAGGAATGGAAAAATCCTTGAAATCTTTGGACCAAGGATGACATGATTTTCTTCCTTGCACACTAATTTGTCTATGATTATTGAACAATATTTGACTGGTGTATCATACACCGTGGCGGTGCACTTTATTTAAAATGTTGTCTTAATTATCTGGAATGTTGTCTAATATGGCCCATTTCTGTGGAACCAGTGGTGTCTGGATTAGACACGTTCTACTGTATTGTAAAAGGAATGGATTGATTGTATAATTTATGGGTACAATGTATTACTCATAGAAGTCTACAGAAGACATTTTACCACATTGTCTGGTTCATTGAATGTTTTGATGCAGGCTAACTCCTTTATTGTGTTAGACACATGAAAGTCACGTCATAGCTAGCCCATGGAAGCATTTCATGTATATCAGGTGGCTCGTACCCTGAATTAAAACCTAACAACATTTAAAGGAAATATTTGAATCACCCTGTACATCTGGCTATTTGTCTGTCTTGGCAGATCATGCCTTGGACATATCTGTGAAACGGAGAAATATTGAACATTTGTTGAAATCTTGTGCATTGGTAATACTTTTTTTATGCCCCCGGATCGAAAGATCCTGGGGGTATATTGTTTTTGTCCTGTTTGTCTGTCTGTTTGTCTATCTGTCTGTTGTCAACTTTAACCTAGCCCATAACTATAATTGCGCTGTCAAGGGTAAGGCTTTAATATTTAACATGAGTGTTTATTATGACAAGACCTTTCCATTGGTACAGAAATTTTTGATCATGTGACCTTTGACCTACATTTGAAAAACTTTAACATTGGCCATAACAATTGCACTGTAGTCTACGTCCCACTCCAGAATTGTGTTACCATTGGGGGCATAGTGTTTCACAAAATAACACATGCTGTTTTGAATATTGCATTGCAATAAAATCATGGCAGAAATTGGTAGGACAGAAACGTCACTGATGTAAAAAGATTGTCATTTTGGTACATGTATAATATCTTTTTAAATGCTTTTCATTGATAAGGCAAACCAGATCAGTGCTGTTAACTTCTTTCTTGTCTTTATATATATTGATTGTGCATCAGGTATCCAGTTAATGTAATATAGGATTTCATCTTTCTTGCCTTGCAAACTCTCATGCACACAGTCACTTACAAATGAAGTAGTATTTTACCAATAATTTTGAAACAACTTCTTGGGACAGTATGGATATGGAGTACCAGTGTCCAACCTCACCCAGCAAATAAATAGAGTTACAACAATTTGGAGTATGAATGGTATATGACTTGATTTACAGTAAAAAGTATAACTAACAAACTGTTGGTCCAAGTGCCAATTTCCAGACTTCAAATTCTCCTAGATGCAGTTTTGAGATCTTTTTTTTTTTGCCTTTGTATCATTGCCTATATATTGCTTATTTGTGTTTCTAACTTTAAAAATCATAAACAGAGAACAAAAGTTCTGTATATATATGCTTCAGCTTTCTTGCATTATTCCTGCTTAAGAGTTTAATTCATAACCTTAGAGCTGACAACATAATTATTTTTAGAAACTTTAAAATTTGTTATACTCGAGACAAAATTATTGGAAAAATGTGTTTTTATGTAAATATATAATGTTTTTTGGTCTGGATATATAATATTTACATTTGCCAATTCTTTGGCAATATTACATGTAACTGCTATACCTTGATAATAAGATCACATAATATCAGTACATGTGGGTGTGATCAGTACATTTTATTAATGACTGCATATAGTTAATGCCCTTAAAACCATGTTCTCAGGTCAGTTATTACTTGCAACTGAGGAGCTTATACAGTAAAACTCATTTAGTATGAAATCAAGATGATAAAGCATCACCAGTAAAATTTGAACTACTCCTTTTAAAATTTTACGTTTATAATGATCAAAATCTGATTCAACAAATTTATGGATATAGGGAATTGATTTTGTAACCCATATAGGTTAAACATATAAGGATATTTATATCTTTTGTAATGATTTTTTTTTAAGATCTCAAAGTTTAAAATCATATTGAACTGACATTATTTTGGAAAATATTTATATTTGAAATTTAATTCATTAGAAAACTTTAGTTTTCCGAGTAAGTTTTCTATTCATCATTTCCTTGAATGTATTTTGTAGTCATACTTGAACCAAAATAGTTTATGGCGAATTTGCTATTTGTATAACTTTAAAAATTCGTTATTCTGATATTACAAATTATGGATATACATGTAGCTTAGTAAATTTACGGGTTCCCAAGACTTTGCTATAGCTGAGTTTTACTGTACTTGAAGTTGTCTTTGTGAAAAAAGCAATTTTTTAAAGTTTGAGGTTTCAAGGTCATATGAACATGATAGAGTTACTGTTCCATGCAGCCATAATTCCTTATGAAAGAAATATTTGAAGTTTGTATAAGACACACCTGTTACTTTAGATGCTGAAAGGTTAATCATTATTTGACACAAAATCCTAATGTGAGTTCAATGTTATTGAGAGATGAAGCATGAAATGAATTGTTGTCCATTCCTTAACTTCATAACCAAAAAAGATAAGAAAGTTGTATTTGTTCATAAGGTTATATATTTATCATGTTGATCAGGGTTTGGCCTTACAAGAGGTCATTTGGACAAGGTCAAGTGAAGGTGACATTGTAATGAACCAATTGACAAGTGTTTTTTTTAAGCTCTATTGGTCAGAGACCAGAAGAGCTTATGCGATAGTAAGGTGTCCGTCATCCGTCCGTCCGTCTGTCTAGCTGTCTGTCTGTCCGTCTGTCTGTAAACAATTTTTCAAAACGCTACTCCTCCTACAGTTTTGGTCCGATTTCAATATAACTTGGCACACAAGTAGACTACACCAAGATACATAATTTAGTGCATAGGTTTTTGATTTCGATGGACAGTGTTGCCATGGTTACTAAAAATAGAAATTTCTGTGAAATTTCTTTAAAACGCTACTCCTCCTACAGTTTTGGTCGGATTTCAATATAACTTGGCACACAAGTAGACTACACTAAGATACATAATTTAGTGCATCGGTTTTTGATTTCGATGGACGGTGTTGCCATGGTTACTAAAAATAGAAATTTCTGTGAAATTCCTTTAAAACGCTACTCCTCCTACAGTTTTGGTCGGATTTCAATATAACTTGGCACACAAGTAGACTACACTAAGATACATAATTTAGTGCATCAGTTTTTGATTTCGATGGACGGTGTTGCCATGGTTACATAATTTAGTGCATCAGTTTTTGATTTCGATGGACGGTGTTGCCATGGTTACTAAAAATAGAAATTTCTGTGAAATTTCTTTAAAACGCTACTCCTCCTACAGTTTTGGTCGGATTTCAATATAACTTAGCACGCAAGTAGACTACACTAAGATACATAATTGAGTGCATCAGTTTTTGATTTCGATGGACGGTGTTGCCATGGTTACTAAAAATAGAAATTTCTGTGAAATTCCTTTAAAACACTACTCCTGCTACAGGTTTAGTCTGCTTCTAATATAATTAGGCATACTAAGATACATAATTTATTGCATTGGTTTTTGAATTCGATGAACAGTGTTGCCATGGTTACTTAAAATAGAAATTTCTGTGAAATTCCTTTAAAACGTTACTCCTCCTACAATTTTGGTCTGATTTCAATCTAATTTGGCACACAGTTAGAATACACTACGATACATAATATGTATTTCTGTTTTTTTTTATTTGGGTGAGTGGTGTTGTCATGGTTACCGTTACTAAAAATAGAAATTTCCGTGAAATACTTTCAAAACGCTACTACTCCTAGTTTTCATTTGATTTCAATATTACTTGTCACAAAAGTAGACTACATTAAGATACATAATTCTATTTATTGTTGCATGTTGCAATGTTTCAAATCCAAGTGCTACTTTTCTTTTGTTATACAAACAGACCAGTAGAGCTACAGTCTCATCAGAGACTTCTGGTTCTGTTTTATCTCATAGATTTAAATGCAACTAGATGAAACTTTGTACTATACAATGTATTCCCTTAAAATCATATATTCTAGAGAATTGAGAAATATTTACCCTTGCAAAAAGTAATTTAAAGTACATGTACATGTAGATCAGAAGCTAGACTTCACTAACTCTTAGATATTTTCAAATCAAAATAAGAACATATTGTAAAGCATGCTCTGAATTATTTTAAGAGTATTGGTACAGTGTATATTTGGGAGGCACTGAATTTGTGCCCTGATTTGTAGATGTGAATTGACTTACATACAACGGTCCAAGTTCATCTCTGGATTTCATGCCTCAGTCTGGACGGTAGGGCCACGTCTCATGTATATGGCGGTGGTTATCCCTCCAGCTTTGTCCGGGGTTGCTCTGCGTCCAGAACGCCTCTACGTTTCTCTTGCGTTGTTGTTTAATTTGACACACACTATTCTAGGCTGTGTATTCTTAGCAATCTCAAGAGCAAGTGAAACTGTGACTACATTAAATCGGTTAAAGGTAAGAACAATAATTATGCAAAAGAAAAGGTTGACTGTCATTTTTGGGAAAATAATTTTTTTTATTTAATAAGGGACCTCACATTACTTGATTTGAAAGTAGTTCAAGAAACCGCATTCCTGGCAGAACTGCATGTAGTCAATGCATTATGTTACAAACAAAAATTTGCAGCCAAAATTTGAGATGATGCCTTGTTTCTTTTTGGGTAATTGCATGCACATTAGAAAATAATATGCAAAACTGCTTATGCTTTTTTAGGGAAGATAAAGTTTAAATGATCTGAAATATTCATGAATGAGCTAACTCTGTGGGTGCTATTCATGCTCATTGCATTCATGAAATTGGTGTATATACTAAAAAATTTAATTTATTAAATACTTATTATACATGTAAGCGAAAACAATATATTGCCTAGCTCAATAATTGTAACATTAAAGGATCTATTAATATGTGAAGAACCCAATTTACACTACACACTAAAAAGCTCTGATTCCGTGGTATTTTTATGCAATTGGAGTGATCTACCCTTAGATCAAAAATAAAATAAATTGAAATCTACAGTGTATTACTCAGTGTGTAACTGTAAATTCAAGCATTTATAATATTTTTGTAGATAAAGATAATATTATTTGAACGCTTGAGTGTGAAGTGAAATAAATTGAACCATGAACAAAGCTGAGGCCTATATAGGGTCTGATAATTTTACGAACAGTAATCTTGCTCAAAAGTCCATTTATGGGATCAGGTGCCATGGAGGAGTATGCATCCTTTGTCAACCGGTCACACTGTTGTGTTCTCCTTGTCATAATCGGGATATATGAAAAAATTAGTAGACAATTCAGTGTGTAAATAATGGCCTAACAATTGGTATGAAAAATGTCAGTCAGCATTTGACTTAATCTTTTTCGTGCCCGCACCTACTGTGACACAGGACCTCAATTTATACGGTCTCATCTGAAGGACTGGTCTCCACGTCCCACAGTGGGATTTGAACCCACGACGTAAGGATCAACTCCTTACGTCGCGACTCTAGAGCAGACGCTCTAACCACTGCGCCACATGGGCGATCATAAATCCAAACTATTGTTACAGTAGAAAAATATAGCAGACAAAAGATAACTCCTCCTTCCATGAATCGACATGTTCAGCTTTAAATATAAATAAATAAACAACAGTGATTTCTGTTCATCAATGCTTACAGCTGTCTAACTCTGAATTTTTTTTCGGGGGTGGTTGTTGTTGTTAAATGCCTGATGTTTACTATGTTGAAAATGAAATACATGTTGATAGATATAAGCTCAATAATAACTGACCTTTATACAATATAATATTCACTGTGTCCAAAACTCATTTTTCTTTAGTGTATATTATTACCATAAATTTATCAATAGAGTGCTTACATTACAAGGATACCAAAACTGCAATTTAGAAAAAAATTTCACCTCAAATTGACTATAAATGAACATCTTTGATAGACTCATGCATGCAAAAAAAATTTTTTTCTTATGGGTTTTCTGAAGGTGCTTTTAGAAACTTTGAAAGACAGAGTAACTGTTGCAGAATAATAATGAGATAATTCAGTATCTCTCTACAAATAGATACATCAGGTAAATACATGTACATGTATAAGAATATAAACAAAAGTTGCCAGTGTCAACAGGTAGCATTCATTGATGTACAATTGTGACAAATTCTTAGTAAAAATCTGACCAGAAAATCGGAGAGACTATAAGAGTTGTTTTCTCTCATTTATACTTCAGAGGACATCATTATTCCCCTAACAATAGCATTTGGATGGTACTCTTATTCTTTAACTTTCAAGTTTGGGTTTATATTTGCATGAAAAAGCACAATATAGACATTTGTGGTGAATTCTTGGCTGCTTTGGAATCATACCTTAATTATTCTGAAGTAAAAAAAAATTGTATTGACAATGAAAAATGTCAGTGTATATATATATATATATATATATATATATATATATATATATATATATATATATATATATATATATATATATATATATATATATATATATATATATTTATATAGTACAAGGATTCCATGTCTAAACATTTGCATAAGCCTCATCAAAGATAGGAAAAGTAATTCCTAACATACATGTACATGTTTACATGTATATACAGTAGATCAAAAAATTTTTGGGACACATTATTTTTTCTGAGATAGATTCTTGAAGATTTTTGATATGTTGGTACTTGTAAGTGAAACAAAATTTTCATGAATTTTGGATGATGTGTAATATATTTCAAATTGATAATATTATATACATGAGAGTAAAATTTTAGTGAGCAGACAATCTCGAGTTATTGCACGGAAAATAAAGTTTTGTCAAATAAAACATGATTTACAGGACATTTCAATGAATCTTTAGTTTTCTATAGATGTACATGAAGCACAATTTTCCTACAAATGATATCGAGTTTTTAATTACTTGACTCTGTAACACACATTAAATTAATCTTTCCTTATTATTTTTTTTATATAGAAATTCCTGCAGCTGGATGAACTTGATCAGGGTTCTGTTGAGGAAGCCTCCGGATTACGACCAAAACCCGAGAACTGTTTTATAGAGGTGGACCGTATCACCGCTAGATGGGACATGGTCAGTTATACTAATGCCCTCCCAGGCTGATATCATTTATATCACCTGTATATAGATTGATTGTTCTATTCCATTTTGATCCTCCTCATCCGAACACACTGATACACTGTAGAGAGATATAGAGACTTTGTAAAAAAAAAAACTCTTCATCTGATTGTCCAGTTAATATTTGATATCTTATAATACGCCGCAATATTAAGAGCTCTCCATTGTGTTGAGGTGTACATACCAAAATGTAAAGTGAAGTATATTTGTACCATTTAATGCAGGTCTGAAGCCTATTCTATTATGACTAGGACCAATAAATGATGAAACTGTTTGATATTTATAGCTGCAGAACTTGAAGGTAAATGATTTTTTGAAAACATTTTAACTATTTCTATAACCACAGGACTCTGAGCAGCCAACATTGAGTGACATCTCTGTTAAAGTAGGGCCAAGGAAACTGTTAGCTGTGATTGGACCTGTTGGTGCCGGAAAGGTAAAGACAACAGTCAAATGCTGGAAGCCAACTTTCTGTTACATACATGTCCAAGTAATGAGCCTAGCTGTCTGAGTTTCACAAGGACAGAGTTAATTGATACAAGAAAATGTGTATCATTGACATGTTATTGTAGTACCTGTATCACTTTGGCATTTTCTTGAATATTACAATTTAGAACTGAAAATCAAAATTGTGATGAAAGAGAATCAAAGAATACATATTAGATTGATAAATTTGCAAATATAATGAAGGAAGTTCAATAAAGCTCAAATAATTACTACAAAATTGTTATTTTAATGTTGAAACTTTTGTAGTACACATATTCAGGTACGAACAAACACTTTGATGGAATGAATGTGTCAATCTATTGTCCTCATTTTTGTATGGTTGAAACATTTATGATTTTTTTAGTCTTCCCTATTGATGAGCATTCTTCGGGAATTACCAGTGTCAGAAGGAAGTGTTAAAGTCCGTGGCAAGATATCCTATGTATCCCAGCAGCCTTGGGTCTTTTCTGCCAGTCTACGACAAAATATTGTATTTGGAAACAAGTTTGACAGCGCCCGCTACAATAAAATTATAAAGGCTTGTGCATTAGACAAGGTAATTAAATCAGATGGATATTTATACACCACAAACACAGTCAAACCTCTTTATCTCGTACTTGATGGGACGAAGAAGAAACTTTGAGATATCTGAGGATTTGAGATATCATGGTTAAAATACTTTAAGAAACAGTGATTGGGACATCCAAATCACTTTAAAATCCATGGTATTCGAGATATCAGTGTTCGAGATACTGAAGTTCCCGAAGTATTATTACAAACTTAAACATTGGACAGTAATGCATTCATTTATAATCTGATGTTGAAAGATTTGTCTGAGATGTGAGGTTTTGACATGTTGTACAGTACAATAACATGTTCTCTTTAAACTAATGGTTATATGGTATACAAAATTTGAATCTGTGTAATTATTCATGTTTTTGCAAAGGTCACAAGGCTCTGATCATGATATGTAAACTTTAAAATGTCATTGTAACAATGAATTTCAGTTATGTTTCTTGAACTTTGATATCTCTAATATCTTGGCAATATGGAATTGAGTTGGAAGTCCCAACCACGTTTGCTTTATGGACCCTAATAGCGATCTCAAACATTTGGATATCTTGAAAGTTTTTTCTCGGTCCCAACAAGTTCAAGAGAATGAGGATTGACTGCATATTGTATGCATGTATTTCAGTATTTTTTTTATACATGCATGAACAAAGAATTATAATAACAGTGGTTATAGATTTTGTTAATATCCTGAATTGAATTCTTTAAGTATGAACAAAATTGTACAAGTAATCTTATGCGATATATTTTTAGGACATTGAAGTGATGCCAAATGGAGATAGCACTCTAATTGGAGATAGAGGGGTCAGCCTAAGTGGAGGTCAAAGGGCAAGGGTCAGTTTAGCTCGAGCCCTTTATATGGATGCTGATGTATACTTATTGGATGACCCATTGAGTGCTGTGGATGCAGTGGTCAGTCGCCACCTCTTTCAAAAGTAGGTCATTAACCTAAGGGTAATAGTGAGAAAACTCAGAATACCGTAAAAATACTTCCATGTATTTTCTTGGGGTCAAATTTTCGTGGTCATAGGAAAAATTAGTGGTTTGAGGGGATTTGATTTCATGATTGAAGGAGAAATATATAAAGCAGTAAGTAATTTTACTTTTCATGGGGGGGATATAAATTTGTTGGTTTCTTCATACCACGAAAACAACAAGAATACCCCCTCCCTTCCAACGAAAATTTGTGATTTCACAATAGATGCAAAAGTCAAACACTTGAGACAATATTAAAGCATCTTGTGACCTTGCTCTTTATAGTTATGGAAGGTATTTTTGCTGATGTGATGATTAAAATCTTTACAGAGTGATTAAAGGGATGCTGAAAAACAAACCCCGGATTCTTGTCACCCATCAACTCCACTTTCTCAAGGAGGCAGATGAAATCATTATCTTAAAGGAGGTAACATTTGATTACAAGCATATACATGTAGATCTACATGTCTTTGTCATTAAATGAAAAGATAATTAATTTACTGGACTAAAATATCACACTTTTCACATGTGTCTACATGTATAGCTTGTAGTAAAAATGTTGATGTTAGATGTACATGTAACATAGCATTCGTTTTCAAAAACTTATTCTGGTATTATTGTTTCATTACATAAAGTATATTATTATATAGTTTATTTATAGTCCAAAGTACCATAAAACACTTATAGTGAACATGCTTATAATGAATTGACACTTACAGTGATAGTCATTCTCCTTGACTTTAAAATATATTGAACACTTAACATTACTTAATGGATATCACAAATTGATTGAGGCAAAGCCGAGGTCAATATTGATATTTTTCTGGTGAATATCAAACCATATTAACCACCTAAGTTCATAATTGTATATCATACACTGCTTTATACAATGGATAGAGGCATTTTATTATTGAAATTGTATTTGACTGTCATGGTAGAAATAGGTCTATCATAATAAGAGGAAAATTTTTCAAAAAGTGATAAATATTTAACATGGAATGTACTACATTGTCCTATAATGAAATTTATCACTAATAGGGCCAGTGTCTTGGAAAGGGAACATTCGATGACATTTCTACATCAGGAATAGATTTCTCTTCACTGCTGAAATCAAATGAGGAAGAAGAAAAAGAGAAACCTCCTGTTGTTAAATATGAAAGAGCAACAAGCGTGGATCGCACACACTCAAGTTTACAAAACATTGGATCCACCATCTCTCTGACTTCCATTGGGACAGAGTTTGAGGTACATTGCACTTTTGCAAAACATGTGAAGAGCATACACAATTGAAAAGAAAAATTAATGTCAAATTATTATTTTTAATGGCATTTGCCCTATCCCCTCCAGTTTGGATATTTAGGAATTTTTTCTTTCAATTACCCTGGTAGTTTCTTTTTCATTCAGATGAACCAGATACTACAACATGTATATAGATGCAAAATTGCCATGTACTCTAATCAGAAAAATTTACTTTTACATGTATAAAAATGTTATTAAATTTGTACTATATCAATTAAATGTGTAGAAAATAACCCCCCCCCCCCCATAAATAAATATACCTGATGCACACACTGAACATATAGAAAATACTTGCCGGAATTAATGTTTGCAGAATGAAGTTTTTTTTAAAATTAAATACTGGTTTGAATTTAATATTTACTTCATACGCATTACTCAAAGTAAAGAAAAAAAGGTTTGCGAGAACTGGACATATAGCTAGTATAAAATTACAAGAAGCATGCATTAATTTAGATTGTTACAATTCATTTAAGTACATGTACATGCACCATGTACTAATTCATTGATATTTATTTTCCCTCAATAAACAGCCTGACCCAGTCAAGCAGCCAGAGGAAGAGGAGCGTAGAGAGGGGAGAGTGGGTTGGTGGGTGTACTTCAGATATTTCCAAGCCGGGTCAGGTCCAATTAAGTTTCCTTTGCTGGTCCTGGTTAATCTGGTGGCCCAGGCTGCATATATCATGAGTGATTGGTGGCTAGCAAGATGGTTAGTATTCATCATGATCATTTATGTGATCATCCATGTAGTTCAAAGTAGGTTAAGGTAAAATTATCATTAGGATAATGTTATCAACAAAAAAATTGCCATGTACATAAATATCATTTGAATAAATTTAACAGATCTTGGAATGGTAATATTTTTTAATTCAAGGACAGATATGATACAAACAAAAAATTGTATATGCCTGGATTGGTACCTGGATTGGCTATATTTTTGGACCTATTTTGGTTGTAAATGATTCAGATAATAAATTTCTAAAATATTAAAAAAATGTAAACTTTCTATGATGTTCAAAATTCTACTCTTTTGCAGTCATCCTTATTAATCTATACAACATTCTGTCACTTTAAATCCCATTTTTGTGAAACTTTGAATGAAAAATTAAAAAAAAAAACTATGCAGTTAAACTTATTCATTTTACTTACATAAGCATGACATAAGTTTTATTTTAAAGATTTTTGACAATTTAAAAGTTTGTTTGTATCATACTTATTTTAGCAGTTATCATGTTTTGCTTATCATATTTATCATTTATATTGTCCACTAATTCAAGTTCATGCTAATTAATATACAAACCCCCCCCCCCCCCCCCCAAAAAAAACAGGACATATAGAAGCTTGGCTCCAAATGTGCTAATTTATAATTAGGCTAATCAGTTGATAAGGAAGATTGCACTAAATTTGAGTACGTTGATTTATGTACCTTTAATAAGAAGTAAATGCAATAATTACCAGCACACAATTGCTAGGGAAGCATAAATTTTGTTTCGGGTAAAAAAAAGGTTTGCTTGTAATAACACCTGGCTGGAAAAATATCCACTTTTTAAAATTTTGATTGATAAATCTATCTCAAATCAACTGATTGTACTCAGACTGGTGGTAAAGTATAAGAAGCAATTGGGCAAAACTTGTCAATCTTTAAATTAAAAGAAATAATTTTTAAAAAGGCTAGTAATTTCTCAGGGCCAGTAAATCTTTGACAGGGCTTATAGCTTTTATAAGCATTCGGCCCTGCATGACTAGCTTATTTCACAGTGATTTTCAAACACTGATAATTACTTAAGTCAGTGAAAACATATAGACGAAGTTTAATACCTATTTATTTTCAAGTGACTAATATCTATTATTATTCAGAGGCATGAATATGCAGGAATATATAAAATCAATGTAAAATATTCATTTAAAGGTCTAACAACGAGGAGGACAGGGATGACCTGATTCAAAAGGATTCTCTCTTACGATCCCAAGGAATCAACAACACAAACATCACTATCCCAGACAGTGACACAGATTTCAATGTTTACGTCTTCTCCGGAATCATATTTTCTGTATTTCTTTTTGGATTACTCAGGGCTTTGATGTACTTCAAGGTTGCCGTGGATGCAGCAAAACATTTACATAACAGGATGTTTAGAAGGCTCCTCAGAGCACCAATCAGATTCTTTGACATAAATCCTGTTGGTAAGAAATTAATTGAGAAGATTGTTTTCCTATGAAAAGTACAGGAAAGCTTTGTTCGGCTTTTCATGCAGCTCTTTAATTATATGCTTGGATTATCACGTGTTTAAATTTCCTGATTTATCAACATGTACCGGTAAAGGCTTTAACAATTACAAGTTTAGGACGTATCTGAGAGAGATTTTTGCAGAAATCTAAGAATTTTATTGTGTTGTTATTTTAGGTAGGGTTTTAAATCGCTTTTCAAAAGACACAGGTCACATGGATGATAACCTACCAATCACAGTCTTTGATTACATACAGGTCAGTATAAATGAACAGAGTTCAAACTTGGATATATTAATGAGATCTATCCTTAACTGTTAAGTCAAAATGAATGAAATTGTACCTGTACTGTCAACTAATCAGTTTTTGTGAGCACATATTTTCATATACTTCTTATTATCTAAAGGCATATTTGTACATGAACCAGTATTCAATTTGGTAGAATTGACTCATATATCAGGGATGCTGATGTTTACATAAACATTACTGACCTTTTTATTGTGCATATTTTGGGAAGAATGTCAAATCAATGTCTGTGTATCTTTATAAACACTAAACATGCTAAAGGCAAAATAGATAACTAATTAGACAATATTAGAAAATAGACAAACTGTGTAAACAAAGTGTAAACTAGACCACCTTTTCCGGTCAGTTGATGATTGTCGATAGTTTTTTATTGACTTGAAAGATCTGTTTCCCATTGGCTGCCTTTTTTGGAGGTCAACATGGTCAGATTCCCTTATTAATTAAAAAATTTAAACTTAAAATTGTCATACCTGCCATTGAGATGTAGAAAATATTGTTTTTCTGAATCTGAAGAATATATGCAAGTTAAAACTCAGAATATACGTGTAGAATACATTATACAAAAACTACCTGTACTTTTAATCTGATTCTGTTAACAGTTCTCAGAATGTGTATTTATTACAGTGTGTTCTGTTGACAGTACTCAGAATGTGTATTTATTACAGTGTGTTCTGTTGACAGTACTCAGAATGTGTATTTATTACAGTGTGTTCTGTTGACAGTACTCAGAATGTGTATTTATTACAGTGTGTTCTGTTAACAGTACTCAGAATGTGTATTTATTACAGTGTGTTCTGTTGACAGTACTCAGAATGTGAGTATTTTATTACAGTGTGTCTTAATAATCCTGGGCATTGTTATTGTGGTGATAGCCATTATTCCGTATGTCTTCATTATACTGGTACCCCTGGCAGTTTTACTGTACGTGACACGTAGATATCATATCACAACATCCAGACATATCAAGAGGCTTGAAGGCACAAGTAAGTTCAATAAAATACAGTTAGACATAAGTAAAGTTTGTACTTTGTGTCATCAGTAATTTATATTATCTATATATGTACACATGTAATTGGCACCACATTACACGTACAACACTAAGTCTTGTATTATATGGATATATTACCAGTAAGTAATTTAAGGCATTAGCTATATGATATAGGATAGTTATATGTAGAGTTTTAAGGCAACTGATAATTTTTAATACTATAAGACATCTGTAAGTTATTGTTAAATGATAAAACACAGTTAAAACATGAACAAAGTGCATGTAAGTGAAGTTGAGTAAGTATGGCTGTAACTTTCAACATAATCACTCTTGTAAAGTGCGTATCACCATAGTTGTAAATCTTTTTTTCCAGCACGTAGTCCAGTTTTTTCACACCTGAGTGCCTCCCTCCAGGGGCTGCACACAATCAGAGCCCTCCGTGTCCAGGAGAAATTCTGTGAGGAGTTTGACAATCATCAGAATCTCCACACTGAGTCCTGGTTCCTCTTCCTGTCATCCAGTCGCTGGCTGGCCGTCCGACTCGACTGGATGTGTGCAGTCTTTGTCACCGCTGTCTCTTTTGCCTGTGTCTTTCTAGCACAAGGTTGGTACATAAGGCAATTAGATTAAAAGATTTTGCTTGGATTAAGGTACAGATGTAATAAGTTACGTTTTTTTTTTTAGGTCACCTGAGTCACTCAGGTGACCTATTGCTATCTGTTTTCGTCCGTCGTCGTGCGTCGTCCGTCGTGCGTTATTTGGTATATAGCATCTATGGGTGAAGGGGAACAAAAATTGTGAATTTCATGGTCCCTGCCCCCCCCCCCCCCCCCCCCCCCGGGGCCTGAGGGGTGGGGCTAAAACCACCAAAAATAATGCAATCTTTAAAAATCTTCTTCTTTACTCCTGGACATCAAGCAGTCAAACTGTTGGCATCATTGTAATAAGCATTGAGCCCTCTACCAAAATTGTGAAATTCATGGCCCCAGGGTCAGGGGTTCTGGCCCCAGGGTGGGGCTATATAGATCATATAGTGAAAGTGCATTATTTCTTTGAAAATCTTCTTCTCTGCTCCTGGGTATTAAATAAAGTTACTAAGTAAATAGTTATGATGAGCAATAGTGCCTCTTCCAAAATTGTTAAATTCATGGCCCCAGGGTCAAGGGTTCTGGTGTAAGGGCAGTGCTCTATTGATTATATAATGAAAATGCATTAATTCTTTGAAAATCTTCTTCTCTGCTCCTGGATATTAAATAAAGGAACTAAGTACATAGTTATGATGAGCAAGAGTGCCTCTTCCAAAATTTTGAAATTCATGGCCCCAGGGTCAGGGGTTCTGGTGTTAGGGCGGGGCTCTATAGATTATATAGTGAAAAAGCATTAATTCTTTGAAAATCTTCTTCTTTGCTCCTGGGTATTAAATAAAGTAACTAAGTACATAGTTATGATGAGCAAAAGTGCCTTTTCAAAAATTGTGAATTTCATGGCCCCAGGGTTAGGGGTTCAGGTGTTAGGGCGGGGCTCTATTGATTATATAGTGAAAATGCATTAATTCTTTGAAAATCTTCTCTGCTTCTGGATATTTAATAAAGTAACTAAGTACATAGTTATAATGAGCAAAAGTACCTCTTCCAAAATTGTGAATTTCATGGCCCCAGGGTCAGGGGTTTTGGTGTTAGGGCGGGGCTCTATCAACTATATAGTGAAAATGCATTAATTCTTTGAAAATCTTCTCCTCTGCTCCTGGGCATTAAGGTGATAAACTAAGTACATAGTTATGATGAGGAGGTGGGCCTCTTCCAGAATTGTGAAAGCCATGGCCCCTGGGTCAGGGGTTCTGGTGTTGGGGCGGGGCTCTATTGATTATATAGTGAAAATGCATTGATTCTTTGAAAATCTTCTTCTCAACTACTGGAGACTATTTAAACAAACTAAGTGCATGGTTATGATGCATAAGGATGCCTTTTCAAAAATTGTGAATTTCATGGCCCCAGGGTCAGGGGTTCAGGTGTTAGGGTGGGGCTCTATTGATTATATAGTGAAAATTCATTGATTCTATGAAAATCTTTATCTCTGCTACTGGAGATTATTTAAACAAACTAAGTGCATGATTATGATAGACAAGGATGCCTCTTCCAAAATTTTTAAATGTATGGTCTCAGTTTTTGGGGTTCTAGAGGAGGGGGGGGGGGGGGGCTCTATTGATTATATAGTGAAAAAGCATTAATTCTATTAATTAATCATTAATTAATCCTGTCTGCTCCTTAGAATAGTGTTGAGCTGATAAATAAATTGCTTAGCTATGATGAAAATGGGTGCTTCGAACAGAATTTTTAAATCTTGTGGTCCTAGGGTCAGGGGTTCTAGCATAACAAGGGGGGGGGGGGGGGGCTTTTGATAATATAGTGGAAAAGTGTTAATTCTTTGAAGTCCATAGTTATGATGATGAGGGTAACTCTTCCAAATTTGTAAATTTCTAGACCCCTAGTCTTTGGTTCTGGTGTTAGGGTAAGGCTTTGTTGAATCTGTAGTGAAATGCATTGTACCTGTGAAATTCTTCTCTGCTTCTGGGCGTATCGGAAGCAAACTGAGTAAAAGTTTAAATAATGTGAGTAAGCGTATTTCTACCAGATTTTTAAACATCTGGGCCATTCGTCTAAGCATTCTGGTCCTGGGCAGGGCTCTATTAATTTGTATTCTACTGAGAGAAGTTATTCCCCTTTTCCATTCATCTTTGATAATTAATCACTGTAAATGATGTATTTGAAAGGTTAATAGAATAAGATAATTATGCAAGAATGTTTATCATATAATTAAAAAAGTACTTTCTTAGTTTTAGTAATCAGGTAGACCTGTAAGTAATAGATAAATAAAAATGAGACAAAAATAACTTATCTTATTAAAAGTTCTTCAAAGACCATAAGAGAGGTCAATGCTAGAGGTCTTAATATGGGTTTAAAAACAGTACAGAAGCACTAATAGTTTGTTAATAGTCTGCATGGTGATAGTGTGAAGTGGGGGACAGATTAGAACTTAATTTATGAGTTGATACTGAATACTAGACTAATTATTTTGTTGATCCTGATCTTCCTACTTTTCTTGCTTTAGGGCAACAATGCTTCATCTATCAGTGTATTTAACTTCTAAATTGTTGTATTATACTCAGGTGACCATTAAGGCCCTTGGGCCTCTTGTTTTTAGTGAAAGCTATTCCTTGATATTCTGTAAGCATAGTAATTTTAACGTGATTTGGAGAAGTGTCTAAAGATCAGTGCATTTCTGTTTACATACATGTTGTGATGACATTGTAGAAAAAAAATATCCATGTCTATGTTAATTATGGTCATTGACAGTATCATTAATATATTATGGATACTGACAAAATATAATTTCCTTAGGGCTGAGTGCTGGTTTGGTAGGTCTGTTAATGACCTATGCCATGACATTGATGGGTTTGTTCCAGTGGGCTGTGAGACAGAGTGCAGAAGTAGAGAGTCAGGTGTTTTATTTTTGTGTTTTTCTTTCCTAGAGTTTAATGATTTAACAAGAATTATTTACTCCAATAATCATAATTACAGGTATAGTATGCAATGCCATGTAAGATTAATACGGTTTAGTAAAAAGGTCATTTCAGTAGATGAATTATAAAATGTTAAGTGACTAGAAATTAAAGATCATGAATTGCATTTAAACAATGAAATGCATGTGCTCTAAGCAGTATGACACAACATCAAAATAGCTAGTTAATTTGATATTCTTTATGTACAGTAAGTTTCACCTGTGTTGTTACATATTTGTTGAATTTCCTTTCCCAATCATTCCACTGTGTTATAGATGATATCTGTCGAGAGGGTTTTGGAGTATTCCAAACTGGACACTGAGGCTGAGCTGGAATCTGATAAACCCCCACCACCCTCCTGGCCGGAGAATGGAAAAATTGTAGCCAAAAATGCCAAACTGAGATATGGACCAGACTCTCCATGGGTGTTTCATGGATTAAATTTTGTGATAAAAGGGAGAGAAAAGGTAAGTTTTCGATTGATTAGATTTATAGAACCTCAATAAAAGTATTATTTTTGACAATGTCTAGGTTGAGATTAGATATGGAAGAGATATATATGTACATGCCTAGTGTTTAAATTTACACCTTAGTGCCTTGTTTCTTGGAAAATTAAATTTTAATGATCTTCTTAATACATGTATTTCGTATAGGTGAGAAAAAACATGCATTATTACATAATATTATAGGATAATTATATAGCCCAGTGTTGTCCATGTTGGTTTTCCAAAATGAAGTATTACATTAATTTTACTGATTTACTTTATGAAAAAAATTGTACACACTTGACAGTACCTTCAGAATAATGTTGAAATACACATACATTTGGAATGAACAAAAACTGTTTAATATGTAAAATATTCTGGAATTTAGGTTGGGTTGGTTGGTCGAACAGGTGCTGGCAAGAGTTCTTTGATTAGCTTGATGTTCAGGATGGCAGAAATGGATGGTTCAGTCATTATAGATGATGTGGACACACAGAAAATAGGGCTGCATGAACTGCGAAATAAAATCTCCATTATACCTCAGGTAAATGATAAAGGTGAATTGTCAGAACCCTGAGTTAAGGAAATAATGGAAAGGAACTTCAAGTATGTTTTAACCTTTTTGATAAAAAGTCTCATACATGTACACTGTACCCCGGTATTTGTAATTGACAGGAAATTGGTTAAATTAAAAAAGACCTTTTATCAAAACTGTGAAGGGATAGAGAAAAGTTCTTAATCATGTACAGTGTGTGTTTCTTTTGTATCAGGATCCTGTTCTGTTTACTGGCACCTTACGTAAAAACTTGGATCCTTTTGAAGAGTGTACCGATGAACAGCTTTGGAAGGCACTGGAAGAGGTGAGAGATGAACACTCTATCAGTACCTAATGAGATCTGGATATGTATGGATTAAATTGAACCGATTTCACATGTACCTAATTTATGGGTTTTCATTTTGTAGAGAGTTACAGTGTCTGACTTAATTTATGACATGAATTTACAATGTATCACTAGGTTCAACTGAAGCCTGCTGTGGAGGATCTTCCAGGAAAACTTGACTCTGAGGTATCTGAGGGGGGTACTAACTTCAGTGTTGGGCAGAGACAACTTATATGTCTGGCCAGAGCTATCCTTAGACAGAACCACATCCTTATGATAGATGAGGCCACAGCAAATGTAGACCCAAGGTTTGTAAGAGTTAGTTTTTAATTTTTATCATGCCATATAAGGCAATGACAAAAGATAATTTTATCCTCTTAAGAGAATAATGTATAAATATTTAATTGTAAATAATTTCAATTATTTTTATCACACAATACTGACCAGTCAGGGGTGAGACTGAAATCCATCATATTTAAGGGAGCCGACTGGGGTTTTATTGTATGAAAACTACTATAGAGAAACTCTTTAATTTTATACCCTATATACCTTACATTGACTTCAGTATACATGCCAAGTTTAGTGAAAATCTACCGTCTGGTTATTTTTTAGGGAGTAAAACAAAACATGACAGATACCACAGATTTACATAAAAAATAGAAAAAATGATTGCTATGTTCTCAATTTCCTATGTTTAAAATTCCAAGAGCATACATTTTATACTTTTTGTTTTATGGCATAATTAATGACCCCGCTTAAAGAACTTCGGTTATTCATAACGTCAAAAACACACTATTACGACGTCTTTCTACCCATCATTTGAAAAATCATTAAAAAAATCAGTTATTTAAAAACGTAATTAGATTTTTTGACCTCATATTTCCTAAATTTGTTATTTTTTTTATAAATTATGTAAAACTAGTTGCTTTAAAAGAGTAAATACGCTCTATTTTACTATGCTGCGCGAAGTATTGCGCAATGAAAACCCCAGTCGGCCCCCTTAAAAATGATTGATAATTGTCATTTCTACTAACTAAACAATGTACATGTTTTTATTATTTTTGTAAATATGACTTGTTTTCATCATATTTCTATTCCCAAGTTAATTCTTCCAACCCATTTACTCCAGTAATAGGATATAGTACACTATCCTGCCATGGACCCATGTGTAGAAAAACATCTTGACAAACAAGTGAAACCAAAATAAATTAGTGCGCCCCGTAAAACTAACAACATAATTAAGTGTGCCCAGACCTACTAATTTGATAAAAAATGATGAAATACAGTTATATTAATTTTTAGAAGTACATGTAACTCTATATTTTGAAATAAACTCCAAATAGTTATGACTGTTTTTCATCATTATTCTAAAAAATGATGAATTTTAGTCATTATTTAAAATCAATTTTATGACTAGAAATCATCATTTTTAAAAATGATGAATTTCAGTCTCACCCCTGACTGCTGACTGGAAGTTATCCCATCATATTTGTAGGACAGACAGTCTGATCCAGAAAACAATTCGTGAGAAGTTTAAGCATTGCACAGTCATCACCATAGCACATCGTTTGAATACCATCATGGACTCAGATAGAGTAATGGTGAGTTGTCATGTAGGGGTTCACTAAGTCCCATTGAAATTGGACATGAAATCTTGGGGAGTTAATATGCTATATTTACCATAGTGACAGCCTCGAAAGCTTATTTCACACCGAAGCCCACTTGAATAGTTTCATTCCCAATGTATAATTTAGTCAGTGCCACTAATTGAAAAATAGAGGAAAATGATACTACCTTGTCAGTAAGTTACCTGTGGTTGGGATGTAATAATTATATAAAGTAATAAGGACAAGAGGTCAAATTCATGCAAGTTTGATTTGTACTGGAGGTATCTTAGTTAACTCTGATGGTCAAATCAAAGTGGGCTAGGGATAGGACTCTCCGACTTGGTATGCAACTATGCCATTTTGCCATATAGTTATCCAAATACTTGAAAACTAAGTAATTGGGGTTTAAATTCCTTATACTTACCAGGTGCTTGATGATGGCCAGATAATGGAGTATAATCACCCCTATGTTCTGTTACAAGACACAGATGGATATTTATATAAAATGGTGCAACAGACTGGTAAAGGAGAGTCACAGAAACTTCTGGAGATTGCCAGATCTACCTATAACAATATACCAGCAGAGGACCGTCCAATTCTTACTGAGGAAACTAAGATTGTTACCACAGACGATATTTACTTGTCTGAGAATGGTGATGTGACTTCTATAAGTGCTAACCATGTCCTTCAGAAGCAGACAAGGGAGGAAGATTCTGCTTCTGAAGTTGTGCCATCCCCCTCTGAAGGTCCAGACAGATCCTTTGAAGGTAATGAAGATGAAAATGAGGATGTTGATGAGTCAGAGACCAGTACACTTCTGGATGCAAAGAAGCAGCAGAATCTGGATACATTACCTAGTCTTTCTTATGCCGATGATAATTTCGTGTCACATTCCCAAAAAGATGACCCATTAGTTAAGTCCTCTATCCATAACCAGCATGTGACAGAAAATTCCCGTCCAAGTGAAGACACAAATGGAGTTTCAGAGACAACAGAACTCTTAAACGATGTGAAAAATGATGAATAATATGAAAATTTTGGAAATTTTCTTATTATAGTGGAAGAAATTTGAATTCCAGTAGTTTAAATGTGATATGTACAGTGTACTCTGTATATTAGGACAGGTGTCCTCTGAGTATTTATAGTACTTACATGTACACTTTGTCACTATTTATTAGCAGCTGATGTATTAGTCTGGGTAATTAAGACATGGTAAAGATGGAAAAGATTTTGTACACATCTCAAATTTGGATAATACTGTACATGTAATTGTTTTATAGAAACATTTTTATTTTTAGAAGATATACTTGTTAAACAAACTTGTGCCTTTCTTGTTGCGTTGAGAAACCATTTTGATAAATGATAATGAAAAAAGAAGGTTTGTTACATGTAGAAATATATAGTTTATTAAATGTGTATAGGAATATACTTTGTTTTCAAAGTTAATATCTAAGAGTCTGGATTTACTTTTAAGCATTTAGCTACAGGGTCTGTTAGAATATAATTTAATTTAGGTGTTACTTGTACATGTTCATTAGAATGTTAATATATTGTGGTATATTGTAAATGTCCAGTTGATTATTTTTGGCTTTTGTTTTTAGCATATCCTGAAATATTTAAAGGCTGCATGAGGGTAGAAGTTAATTTACATATATGTTGTTTATTATAACAAGTAGGAGGAAGAACAATTGACTTTTTAGCTTTAGTTTGAACAGAAACATATACCTCTGATTTTGTGCATTGTTGGGTACACATAGTTGATTTGTCTTGTACTCATCGCTTGTTGAAGTTAACTACATGACAAGAAAAAATTAGCCATGTATGTCTGACAATGTCGTTTTTGCTTTGTAATACTTTTGATAACAAAGATTTTACAGAACTGTGTTATACAACCTTGCCATAGACATGTCACATAATCAATTTATAGATAAGTTTTTTAAAAAAAATTATTATACGTTGTACATTCCATCCTGTGCATATACATGTAAAGAAGCATTTTTCAATTACATATTTTTTTTAAAGAATTTTTTTTTTAGGAAATTAGCTTTGAAATAAAAAGTGAGTTGTTATAAACTTGTTATCCTCATTCTATAGTTTAAATAAAATGCAGATATTAAGAATGAAAAAGAAATTGATTTATTTAAATGATTATAAACTGTGAAAAATTGTTAAACTGCAGTGTAACTCTGCATTATTATTGTTTATTCTAACACTGATTTTATCCAGTTTAAATAGTAACGAAGTAAATTTTATTTACAGAACATATTGCTGAAATGATGGCAGGATTCTATTTTTGACCAGAATGATAATTATAGCTATTATCAACAGAGGTTACTATGTCTCATTTGTTTATACAAGAAGGTATAAACATATTTTTTTTTGCACATTAAATTTTTCTTTGATCTATAAACCAAGATGAGGTGTTGAGAGGTAATCAATTCGTTAATTTTTATTTTTAAAATGATTTATGTCTTGTGTATTTTTTTTAGTCCATGTAAAATGTTTATTTGTGAAAATTAAAGTACAATAATTTCAGTGTAAAATTTATTACCTGGACATGCAACAATGATTCCAAAATTTAATTTTTTAAATTTTTAAAGCATACAGATTATTTCTGGTGTTTTAAGATACTCTCATTCATTGAATATAAGGGTAAACATCTAGGAATAACTTTGAGGTCATTACTCACCATCGTAATTTTTCCATTGAGAAGTCAAGTTTATAATTCTTGTTAAGCATTAGGTAATTGCCCCAAAATTGGACACCTGTGCCATTATATTGTACAATTTGGCCACAGCTTATTTCACCCTTGATTGACTGGGCCACAATGTTATTAAAAAAAATAATGAAGGTGCAATTAATTAAAGCTAAAAAATGCTAAGCTCTTCCAGGTGTTATACACTGTACACCCATATGACTGTCTGTTTACACTGTACACCCATATGACTGTCTATTTACACTGTACACCCATATGACTCTATTTATACTGTACACCCAAATGACTGTCTATTTACACTGTACACCCATATGACTGTCTATTTGGTGCAAGAACTTGTGTTTTTTCGAACATGTGGAATATACCTCAGGTGTGTGACAGCTAAATTGTTGGACCTGGTCGTGTACAGATAGAGATTAATGTTTTTTTTAATTGGATCAAAGGTTGGTATTGTAGTTCTTAATATAAATATAATAGTTGAGACTACCCCTTGATAGCTAAGGTAATGTGTCATCAGCTTACAGCTGCGAGTCAAGCTGCTAACCAGTGTTGATTTTAAGTATAAGAAATTTTGTTGCTTTAATTTATTAATGGGATAAAAGAAGGAAATCAACTTGTGAAAAGAATTAAATTGTTTAAAGGAGATGGGCGAACATAGCGTGCAGAAAGCCTATAGCTTCAGAAATATAAAAATCTTGTTCAATTTGTGAATTTAATATTTAGAGTAAAGTTCTCATTATTGAAATTTATGTAATTGTGATAAACAAAACTTTTCTGAGGAAAATTTTCTCGGCAAAATTTATTCTTTTATTACAAAAATTAATGTGGTATTCGTGGGGTTCGAACCCTAACAATAAAAATCCTGAGAATCATTTTCTTTCGAGACTAGCACGCTAACCACTAGACTACACAAGTCCTGACGACCAGTGGCATTTAAATCATGTTTGTGATATGACCTTTGACTTAATGGACTTCAAGTATTTCTCGAAAAGATGCGAATGTTATGTCATAAAAGTATATTTTTAAGGTATAGTGGGTCATTGCTCCATATTTTTGGTAAGCAAAAAATGTATATTTTTATGCAAACTTTGAGGATTAACTTTCAAAAAGGTGGAGCGAAGACCCACTCATATCGAAAAATAGTGTTATAGTATGCGAAAATGACTCTTTTTGCCCGCTTTAGTGTGTGTCTAATATTTCACAGGCAAATAATTTCAAACTTTGAGGGATTTTTGCAAATTGTAGAGATTTTACATAAAGTTTATTTTAATGTTAGACGAAATATCAAGGAAAATTTTGATATAACAGAAATTTAATTTTTCATCTTCATGTTTGTCACACTATAGGCTTATCGCTCGTCATGTTCACCCATCTCCTTTGTTTATCTTGTTTCTTTTATCTAGAGCTTAAGAAGAAAGCAACGTAAATTCTTTGCCCAAACTGATAAAGTACTTTGTTCGTTGTGTTGAGGTCGATCAAAGCAACAGAAGTTGAGTTATCTTCATTTACAGTTTATGCAGATATATATAAAAAAAGATTATACAACTTTCCCGACTCCACAAGCTAGGTCACGCAGGTTAAGGATCAATTTTTTCCATGGTGCCAAACCAAGGGTTGAAAAGCTAGCCGCTCATTTTGTGCAAGCGGATTAACATCGGAATTTGTTACATGCGTTTCATGATTGATTGATTACTGTTTGACGCCGAGTCGGCAGTATTTCAGCCATATATCGACAAACCTCCATTTTAACAACAACAGTTACCAGAAAAGACGATAATATTACTGATGCAAAAAATTGAAATATTTACTTCCCTTTTTTTAGGTCACCCGAGTCACTCAGGTGACCTATCGCTGTCTGTTTCCGTCGTCCGCCGTGCGTTAATAATTGAACATTTTCAGTTTCTTCTCTGGAACCGCTGAACCAATTTTAACGTATTTAAAGGGGGAAGGGGGGCAACAATTATGAATTTCATTGTCCCCGCCTTCCTGGGGCCTGAGGGATGGGGCTAAAACCATCAAAATTAGCACTATCTTTAAAAGTCCTCTTTTATTCCTGGACACCAAGCAGTCGATGTTGGTATGATTGTAATAAGTATTGAGCCCTCTACCAAAATTATGAAGTTCATGGCCCCAGGGTCAGGGGTTCTGGAGTGAGGATGCGGTTCTAATGACCATATAGTAAAAATGCATAAATTCTTTAAAATGTTCTGCTCTCCCCCTGTAAGTAATTAAGATAAACTAGGTGCATGGTTATGATGATCAAGGGTGCATTTTCCAAAATTGTGAAGTTTGTGGCCCCAGGACGAGGGGTTCTGAAGGAGGGGGGGGGGGCTCTGTTGATTATATAGTGAAAATACATTTATTCTTTGAAAATCTTCTTCTCTGCTCGTGCGTATTAAACACACAAACTAAGTATATAGTTACGATGAGCAAGGGTGCATCTTCTAAAATTGGAGTTAAAAGCAGTTAATACTTTTGATAGGAGTAAAGATAAGGGCTTGGTGGAGCATTTGCTGGCAGGTAGGGTAGATCGAACTCACCTTTGCTGACTAGTACATTAAAAGTATTAAGCACTGAAATATGATTTTGAGGAATTTTTCTTTGGAAAGTGGACTGTGTATAGTATATATAGAATTTCCATACGTAGATTTTTTACCAAGTTCTTCCAAAATACAATTATAATAATGAACCTTACAAACAAAGACAATATTATTACCAGCCTTGTCTGCTGGAACCATGATACATGTAACATATTTTTCGTGTAATCGCCCTAACTCTTTCATCTCCTCTGGTTTAGTAAAAACGGAAGGGTAGATGGTTCGCATTTTGCTTTTTAATTTTTTAATACGAATCTTAAATATATTTCTAAAACACTTAATCCATTTTGACAAAGTGTTCAGGTCTTCTTTTCATATTTAGCCTAACGTTTGGCATAATCTTCGACAGAATTCATAATAGAAATATAGTTCTGTCGCCAGTTGAAAGATCGGGGCTCTCTGTATTTAGGACCTTTTAAGGATACACCAAAGGTTTCCAAAAGCCAGAGTTTAATTTGCATGTAATTCTTTCATTATCTAAGATAACATAATAAAAGTATATATCATTTGAAAGCTTGTAAAATTTACTATCTAATTATCCTAATTTTAACTTTAATTAATAACTTATTTAAAAATTATTTGAATATTAATGTAAATTTAAGTGCATAAATATTTTATAAATCAACTTTTTTGTATTCAACCCCTCAAAGTGGTCATTTTGCCTCAAGGTAGATTAAAGATTGAACTTTAAAACTGTATCTCATATTTTTGATAAATATTCTAATTCAAGAGTTACAGCCATTTGCCCTTCAATGTCACCAATTTATTAGCCTAATTTAACATTTCCCTCAATAATTCCAAAACTAAGCTAGATATCAAAAATCTGAGATACGGTTTTGTGAACACACATTTGAGAAGCAACCCATCCAATTTTCAGAGAAATTGGTCAATAAATAAGGGAGCTGAATCCTTTGAAATAATACCACAAACTGTCTGATCTTACTTTACAGTAGAGGGCAAAAACCCATTACACAACAAAATCTGCCAAAGCTAAGAATATATGACACCTTGGAGACTCAGCTTTGGATACCTGTCACTTAGCCATATTTCCTATGCATATTCACAAGAATGGGAGGTTCCTTTCTGTATTTAGATGCTTTTAATTAAGTAAAATAGGTTCAATTCTGAATCAGAAAGATTTCCCGGCAAAATGGCAAGAGCTAAGCTCCACCTCTTATTTTATGGTCATTAGTAATCTGTTAGATCTCTTTCCCTAAATCTAAAGTCCCTGTAGTTTAATTACTGATAACCTCTGTGTGGCTAGTGAAGAATTCCCCAAGTGGTCACAGTGATTTATTGCGTCTTTCATGAGCTAGCAGTCACAGATCAAATCAGAAGCTTCAATAACGGAACATTCACATGTGGTAGTGTTTATGTTTCATTATTGTTAAATAATTAGAAAACCATTTCATAATTACCAATAGTTTTACATGCATTATAAAGCAGTAATTAACTTCTTTTTCTTAACCAAAAATCTCAAAATTGTTGAAAATCTTGAAAAAAGCCTTTGGTGCACGTGTATCCTTAAATGATTACTTTAAAGTCTTCATTTTCAACTATATTAATATCATCAGTAATGATGTGTCCAGTGGGACTGTAGTTGAAAGACGAAGGAGAGCAAGAACAACTGAGGATTTTGTTTGAGATGTTCAATATCTTAGGCACTGTAGGGTTTGTTTAAAATTGAAAAGTTTGGAGGCAACAGTTTGTGAATACCTATAGGAAATGCAGGATGTAGACGTCAATTTGAAATATGGTGGAATGTAAGACTGAACTTTTTTTTATGATCAAGAATATTACTAATGTTCATAGCATGTATTCCTTTGTTTTCAAATTTAAGCTTAAGGAACCGATGGGTCGGGTAAGAATTATCTCCAGACACACTTGGTGATTTAAAGAGCCTGTGCTGGTCAACATCCATACTAATAAAAACTAGGTTGTATTCTGCAGATGAAGAATTTATGTATGAACTTGCTTTAGCTTCTTCAAATAGTCCATTTAAGAATTATAAGGAAACAGAATAAAGTTTAGTGCGAATGTGATGAAGACTTAATTGTTTATTGACATAAGGCAGAAGTGAATCAAAAGAGACATCATGTATATTTTGGTTTATCGTAGGAACTGTGTCATAGGATCGATGTCCATGACTACGTTTACGTCTTGGTGTATTGTTAAAAAGACCCATCACATTTATATTAGCACATTGTGGACTACGTTATTTATGTAGTCGTTGCAACCATATAGAAAGGCAGTGCCTAGTTTCCTGATCCATGCAGTATTCTTCACGTTGTCTACGGAATGGAGTACTCAAAGTAGGACTGTTAGTTGGGTGATATATTTTTTCCAAAATTCTAACCCTCATTGAAAGAACTGAGTTGCCCGGCGAATTGAAATGCTTATAAAGATGTTGAATGCTCCAATTATTTATTTCAAATCTATGGCCTGACATTCTCTTGTTGAGAAAAACTTTTGTTTCTACAATATAAATTAGTCCGCATAGTGTACATTCAATTCCATAGACAACGTTTGAAGATTTAAAAGACATATTTTCACCAGTCTTATTAAAAAAAAACTTTGTCCAGTAAGGGTGCTACAAAAAGGAAGTATTTGTTATCAAAATATCACAGGTTTTGCAATTTTTGTAGAACATTTTGAAATGGAACACATGGGCTCCGAAAAAGAGTTGTCAAAAAAATCTTTGATTTGAAACCTTACAATCTTTAATTTCAGTAAAGGCATGGCTGTGTTTGATACCAAAACTGGTTATCTTCTGACAGTTTATAAGATAGATTGTGAATGTCCCGAAGGAGAATCCGAGGGGCACCAACCATTCTGTCAGAGCCTGTACCCCTTATAGACTCTGCAGAATGACACTTTCTTATACTGGGCGTCGTGTCAGCCAGTATGGAATCGTTTATCCTTTTAATATTCATATAGTAGATTAAATACCGAGCGACAAGTATCCTCGGGGCTATTACTAAAGGGATATTACTTTCTTGTCAGTCGTTTCGCTTCTTAGAGAAAAAAGCAAAGAAATTTCAAACTCATGGTATTTATATTAGATTATATGTCATTGCCATTTCAGATTTCATTTCATATGTTTTGGCAATCTACGGGCGTCAACAAATTTTGTTTAATGGATTATTGATAAATAAATAAAAAAGGATTGAAATTATTGAATAACGATACTAAATCAAGTATGTGTCACGCTATTTAACTGTCGGATGAATTAGACATGAAGAGAAAGTAGAGTATACCAGGACTAAGCTGTTATGTAAAATTAAAGTTACTCAATTTGCAAGCTGGATATAGTTTTCACTTAGTACGAATCTGATAATTTGAACTTTTCCCCATTTTTTGTTTAGTTTTGTTAATTGCCCCTCCACCCTTCTTTAAAAATACTAGTATTGCCTGTGGCGATAATATGCAATGCATTTCATTGTACATGTATAACTAGTACTTTTTTAGGAGTTTAAGGAGAATAAATAAATATTTCCTCTACTTCAGCGTAGTATTTTAATTTGTGCTTTGTTTACATTAAATGCATCGGTTTTTATTATACAAAATACCCTGATGGGAAAAAGTTTGATTAATGCATGAAAAGGTTTTCTATATGCAGTACACGTTTATAACTTAAATAATTACAGGCGTACAAAGCGAAGACAATCCCTGCCCTTGGACAAGATATTTCTCAATTCAAAAAATTCACAGAATAATTCTGTTATTTAAAAATTGGGTTATCAGCATCATTTTTACACATTTTATTCCTTTATTTTATTGAATTATTTATTGATGAATAATTTTTTTTATCAGTTATGTTTTAAGTTATGTGAATAGAAAAAAAGAGTCTCAATCATGATTTCAAAACTCTTAGGCGTAATGCTAGAATCGTTAACCAATATGCTATGTAGTCTTCTTAACACTATTGGAACATGTCATTTTTTTCCAGAAATGTTCGATTTCAAACAATGCGTTCGAACTTTATTTTGAAACATAAAAAAGATTTTATATCTATTTACCGTCATTCCAAAGTTAATATAGAATGGAGACTTGACCTTTTCATATTCAAAAATTCATTTTTGATGACTCGCCCTAACAGACCCATTTCCACTGAATGAAATATGAAGATAACGAACAGTAATTAAGCCCACAAAACGCATTAAAACAATACAAATCGGGAACAGAGCAAACGCGGACCTCTAAGTACATCAGAGGTGGGATCAAGTGCAATGGAGGAGTGAGCATTCTCTGCCATTCGGTCACACCCGCTGTGTGCTCTTTGTCATGCATGGCCGTAGGAACCGGTGGGCACGGGGGGGGGGGGTGCCTCCCCCCTTAATAATTTTGCCGATATATAGAATACTATAGAAAACATAAAACATAGCTACTATATGCCTGTGCCCCCTCAATAATGTCTGATGACCTTTTTTTTTGACATGTCAAGGATTTTAGTAGTTGATAGTGCCCCCCCCCCCTCCCCGACTGAAAATATATGGTTGTGCCCCATCAAAGTGAAAAACGGGAAAATCCGTAGACAATTCAGAGTGTAAATAATGGCTCAACAATCAGTATGAAAAAGGTCGGTCGGCATTTGATAGGTTGTATTTGCTGACAAGGTCATTGTATCGACCATAAAACTTGCGAAATGATGACTTTCATATAGCTCTGGCCATATTTTTTGTTGTAATATATATATTTTTTAAATGAAGGACACTTCAGGGTAAAAATGTCGAAAATGACAACTCAGCATGGATTTTTTAAAAAGAAAAAGGATATACCATTTAACACAATATAATATTTATGAGAAACTAGCACAATCTCATTAAATGTAATATGCAAACTTGAAAATTATGATCACTAATCCTCAATGTTTATAATGGGAAACTTAAGTTATATTGTATTAAGATAAAAATATTATTTATCTGCATAAGAGCAATGCGTGACTGATGACTATTGTATATTTTTTCCGAAAACGAGTAATTTCCTTATTATTAATCCTTATTCCTTTTATTCCTTATTATTTCCTTATTGTGATAATTACAGCGCTAAAAACAATATTGAGGGTAAGTGTTTTGAAATATTGTGCTTTCACCGACTCTCTTTCTTACTATAAAAAAGTGTATATTTTACAGGTTAGACAAAAAAGTTTTTCATTGGACATCAAGTTGATCGAAACGCAACTTCCTGTATTTTTACGTTGCAATTTCTCTTTTGCATTTCATACTTTAAAATACATTGATTTTCATTAGTTCAGTGTTCATTCTTTATACTGCCGTTGATGGAATACTTTTTTATCTTGATTGTGGTATTAAATGTTATTAATCCACTTTTAGGGAAAAAAGCGGGAATTTGTTCGAACACATCCATTGGGTAAGTGAATAAAGATAAATGGCACTGTTAAATACGATTGTTATAGAATCAACCCTGTTTTTGAAAATTATCATGTACAATTAATTCTAAATGTATTGTTAGAATGTTAGATTAAGAGGTAATGGTACGTAATGGTATTTAGAGGTTGTTATTTTTTTGGCATATTTATTGCGATTAATTGATATTTACACGATATTTAAAAGACAAAATGACGCAAAAACGTGGAGAAAGAACTTAAGCACTGTTCAAGCCATTTTGTATAATTCTTGAAAGTACTGTTTCCGTCAATCGCAAATTTTAGAACATTTTTTACCGCGAAAAATTAATGCCTGGCCTAACATAAAAATATTGATTACCTCTCCTCCGTGCATTCCCAGAAAACATATATCATGGCTTCAATTTTGAAGAATCGAAATGTTGGTATTCCGAGAATATGAATATGCGAAAAAAATTCTTACCTCCGCATGCCCCTGAATCCATGCTTATTACAATGAGGTTTGCAGCTATCGGTCGAATTTCTCATGTCCTTGATATAGACAATTTAAAAGATTCGGTGGATATATTCTCTGCTTTTCCGATGAACAGGACTGATACACATGTAAATGCACTAAGAAGCCATTCAAAAAATACGTTGATTTTTGTCATAACTTATTTATTCAAGTCATATTATTACCATCATGAAATATATCAAATTTATCTTAAATTGAAGACTGCGAAATCGGGGTCCCGGAGCAAGGTCAAAAGGAAGTAATTCACTAACAATACGCTTTATAATGTCTTAATTTAAATGTTCATCTAATTACGAAATGTTGCTTAAACGAAATAAAATTGAAGTCAAATGTAGAACATGTAATTTCAGAGGCCAAATTGTAGTACAATATATTGTCTCGTTTAAAAAATCTATTTCAGAAGACATGTAATCCTGTTTGAAAGTAGCGATATTATTTTGTATTGCACACAGGAAACCTCTAAAACAAACTCTGAAAATGTGTACAGAATCAGGAAAAATATCAACAAAGAGCAGTGCATTTGTATTTGAATGGCAAAACAGTTTTTGAGTGGTAGAGACTTATAGAGAATCGGACGATAAACGGTCTGAGAGGAAACATAGTTTAAAAACTTGTCAAAAGAGATATATGTAATTACGTCATGGAAAGTGATGTCCGCTTCACTGTTGCGGAACTAGTGAAAGCAGAATTACGCGGTAAAGAATTTGAAAACTATTGACAAACTAATTGAAGCTACTCAAACTATGGTGTCACGTGTTATGGGCATGGTTTAGTTAGTGTTTAAGGAAATTAAACCGTTTGAGAAATAATGAGAGTAATTCATGACTAATTTTCACGACGTTGTTTTTGACATTACAATGATGTTTAGAGTGCTCCATGGTGACAAATATATTGACTTTTAGATTAAGTAAATTAATATGAGTTCCATTTAATCAATAGGAATGACACTATACACAAAAACAAAATAAATGCTTTAACGTTTGAAAATGTGCTGGTTTTAAATCTTTCAAAAATAATATGATGTAGAGCGATATTGTCTAAGTAGATTTAAATGTCCCTTGTAGTTGCTTGCTTTGCAGTGCGGATGAGTTTGTCAAAACGATATGCTTATAATTTTGATATATTTTTTTCGATTTATAGTACTAATTTTATAATCAAAATATGTAATATATGACTTACTGTTTTTATATGCTTTAGAGAACCTCTGAAATGCTGCAGTAACTATCGCCAAGTTGGAGAAGCTTGTGAAGGTAGATATCATACCTAAAACAATTTATTACTTTAAGCTATTTTTTTAAAAAAGTTTTATCCATACTATTTCTGTAAACAAATATTCCTTAAAATTGCACAAATCTTACAAGATAAATGATATTATCCAAATATTAGCAAGTTTCAATGAATGTACATGTTAAAGGTTTACACTTGCAACTATATTCTTTATAAATGAGCTTACTTATTTACGAGCAATTTTAATGCACCAGATGCGCATTTCGACAAATTATGTCTCTTTAGTGATGATCATGCGGAAACATTGGAAATCCAAAATATTTAAATTAAGGAAACTTTGAAGAGCGGAAAAAAGATGCCAAAGACTTGAGCCACATATGTCGAAGGATTAGAGCTCTGCATGATGGAGATAATCCTTAATTGTGAAATAAATTTATAAATTTTACCACAGCAATTAAATATATATCGTATTTTCAAGTTAATACCGAAGTACTTAGCTACTGGGCTGTAGAGAGCCTCGTGGACTAACAGTCCACCAGCAGAGGCCTCGACCAGGGGTCATAATGTAAATCATATACGGTACCAATTTTGATGCACCAGATGTGCATTTCGACAAATTTTGTCTCTTCAGTGGTTCTCATGCCGAAACGAAAATGCAAAATATTTAAATAAAAAAGACTTTGAAGAGCTGAAAAAAGAATAGGAGATTTTTTGGAAAAAAAATCGCCCTAAATTACCAAAGAAAGGCTTACTTCTGTATCAGATTTTTTTTTCTTACTGTTTATTTCAATGTATTTTTCTAGATTCCCAAGTTTATCTTATTTATAATTGAATTGATAATTATTAGTATATTATGTTGAAAATGAATTTACTATTTACAATATTAAGGAAAATGTAATACGGATTGTATTAGGATAAAAAATGTGTCCATTTCAAAATACCATTAGAATAAATATGTTAATAATAATCTTTTTGGTGCAAAATACTAGAAAAAATCTGTTCATTTTGAACGAAAAAAGGTGATACATTATTATTATGAGATTTATGAAAGTGAACATGAATTTTAAAGAATAGTCTTATAAACTTTACATTCTGGTCTTAACATGGGATTTGAAATTCAAATTTTATGTAAAATCTTCTGTGTGTGTGTTTTTTTTTTTTTACGTAAAACAAAATTGATCATACTATAAATCTTCAGTAAAACAAAAGCATTTCGGAATACCTTGATTTTCCAAATCTGAGAATAAATTCGTATTAATAACATACAAAAAAGGGCGCACATTACGCCAGACTGTTTCCTCCATGTGTTCCGAAAAATAGACTTTATTATAATTATCACTGACGCCTGTTAACAATGTTAATGTTATCTAGGACCATAGAGTAAAATAAATACTATTTATTATTTTAATAGCGCTACCAGAGAGCCGCCTCCCATAATACAACAATTTAAAAAAAAATTGTGACGATTCACAAATGGATTAAATGTGCAATGGTCGAGGATGACCAGTAAAAGGATGGACTGTGCACTGAGTGGTCATTTCACAAGTGCACAAGTCCGCAATTAAAAAATCATAGATAGTATAGAAATTCACGAATTCAACAATTATAAATCAATTCAATCATTATACAGAAAGTAAAAGTGTCATCCAATGTCATTTATAAATATGGGGCCAATATCTTACGCCTTTGCATTTGTTAATTAGCACTCCTCCAGTTGAGCTGGGGTGTGACGAAAACGCCACTTGCAGGTTCAGTGAACCAAGCAACCGCCACTAAAGGAGTGCCACAAAACCTTGCTAACGGCGGTTGAACTCAAGTGGTCACCACAGTTCGTGCCTTACTGTCATGCTCGTAATTAGCTGGATGGAAGTTACATCACCATATGCAGAATTTTCAATAGCCCCTGTTAAATTGTTAAGGAATAAGTCATTTTCCAGTCAAATTACTCTGAAAATTATCACTGGTCGTCATCTTTACATTTCAATATGCAGGCCCGTAGGGAGCAATTTCACTTTGAGGGGCACAACCATACATTTTCAGTTGGGGGAGCACTATCAACTAACAAAATTCCTTGACAAGCAAAAAAAAAAAAAAAAAAAATGTCATCAGACATTATATTGACGGGGCACAAGAATATACATGTAGTAGCTATGTTTTCTATAGTATTCTATATATCGCCAAAATTATTGGGGGGCACGCCCCCCGTGCCCCCCTCCCCGGTTCCTACGGCCATGATACGTACAGATTTCACACCTCAGAGTGTTGCAACAAGGTCACCGAGTAGAAGAGGGGATTCAGAAGAGTCCGTATGGCTTTCGCCGCTTCACCCTTTATGACATGGCTATACATAAAGTTTCATTTTGCTGCTGCATTTATGTTATAATTTTTTTCTTATTCATGTTGAAAAATTCAATTGCAGCTATGTTAGTGTCAGTGAACTTGATTCGAATATTTAGTCTCTGTCGACAAAGTCCTTGGGCATTGAGAGTAATCGCGACTTCTCGGGCATTTCCGACAAACGGAGAAACAACCTCGAATGTATTACATAAATGTACTAAGGTGTCCTAGACATCCCCCTTTTTCATAAACATTGAAATAAATGTAGGCGACTACTTATCTGTGGAGTCTGGAGCTCTGCTAGTAAGGCACAAGACGCGATTGCCTTCAGAGCTTAATTAGGAAAAACGTACATGGAAATGTTCATATACATTTATTGACAGCTCATGAATGAAAACTATCAAGAACGTCAAAAATTAAAATAATTTATACATTATTTAAAAAAAAAACCCAGTAAATCCATGAATAGAGGACGTTGTTCAATTTTAAATCGAACAGTTATATAGGCGCGTTTAATTTTTTACATTAGGTATTACATAAATATATTTTTTTGTGTTGCTTTATCGCATGAGGATTTTTCTTCTGCAAATACAGACGAGACGTCACGCCTTGAAGCGCTATTGTGACGTAATTACGTTTATGTCACGAAGGTCCCTTTTCGCTTGACGCAATTCATGTATTTGAACCAGTTTTTACATGATTTTTATACTACTTTTTACTAAAAATATACGATTTTATGTGCTGAAATATACTTCTGTTTATTTATGTCTTACGTCTTAAGAAATATGACAACCTATATATTTTTTGCGATTATTAATTAATTTAAACTATATTCAGTGAAAATAAATGCAGTTTTTTTCTATTTTGATCCCATATAATTGTGAGAGTGGATATACCTTTATCTCCTATCCGATTCCTGGCAGCCATAGCTACATGTACTCTCTTGATTCAACAATCCAAACTTTAACCGAACCTCTTAATTAAAATAACTAACGATACGATTCTTAAGCAGTGAAAATTAAAACATGTTCTTGCCAATTACAACTTTTTGAAATAGGGAATTTAAGGTTATGTTAGTAATTGATTTGTTTGTGCTCAACCAGGAAAATTCCGGAAAAAGCATACCACCCGTAACATGCACCGAGATAAATGCGCATATTTTTGACAATTTTAATATGCGATAATGTTAAAACCTTTACTTTTAAAGAATGCTGGCCGGGAACATATGATTGGAACTGTACACCATGCCCTGCAGACTTTTTTGGAAGATTCTGTTTAGAGTCTTGTAATAACTGCACCCCCTGTGATCCAGTTAAAGGGTGTGTTGAAAGTAAGCAAATGTTTGTTTAACAATGCAATGCGTACAACTTTCTCAAGTGTTGAAGAATTTTCAAATGTTTTGTATCATTAATTGGTATTTTAGTTAAAAAAAAAGTTTTCATTTTAGCTCGCTTCATTATATATGTCTAAGTGACAAGTCTCTGTGATTTACGCGCCAATAATTCATACAGAACTGAAAAGCGTTCCTTACATTTATGTTTTAAATGTATAAAAGCAGCAAACAGACATTCAATGTTTGAATTTCTCTGAAAATCCTTGATATAACTAATGACATACCTTAAGATAAACAGAATGTTAGTTTTGTCTATCGCAAAACGGCACGAATGTTACCAACGTCATTATAATATTACTTTTCGGCAACTCATTTTCACTTTATTTATCTGCAAATATTTTCCTCTCACATGCTTTTAAAAAATAATCTTTATTGCAATTTTTCAATCCTTTTGCCTAGATCTTATGTATCGTCAGATTCAAGAGTAAGTGACGCTAAAGGTTTACTGGTCGTCCATTTACTTTCTTTTTCTTCAGTTGAAATTTTGAAAAATTTTATACCCTGAATTAACGCTAAACGTTGAAAAGTTAAATAAAATGTAATGTGAGGGATTCAATCGATTTAAGTATGGACTGAAAATTAAGTGCCGAAGAGAAACGTCATGACGATATCGGTCAGTAACCATTGAGTATTGTATATAAAATGAGTGGAATGTGAAAAAAATTATTTTGCTTTAATATTTGGGTGCATGGAAGCATAGATGAATGTCCTTTCAAACATGAGTTATTTGGGTCACGTGTTTCTTGTTACCATAGCAACGGCGATTTAAATGCTTGAAAAGTGGGAAATTTGATTCTTGATAACCCTGTCAAAATTAATTACAGAATTAAACTATGTTTTTCTTAATTTCAATATATAAGGCAGATTTAATTTTTCCCATATTTATTTTAAAGCACTGGGGCCTACTTTGCTTTGTTTCTATCAAATGCTGTAAAATCAGCATAATTTTTATAAATATTTTACGCAAAAACGCAACCAAACTCCATCATAATCATACATGCAATAGGAACTACGAGCTTTGAAGTTATAAATCCAATAATAAAAAATGGTAGTTGGATACTCTACAGCAAATAATTTGATTTAGAAAGTATCATAAATATGAAAGCGCGTAAGCAGATTATCCCCCCTTTGTGGAACTCTCTTGCTGATGACTAACAGAAAGTTGGAGTTGCAGCAGAAGTTGGAGAAGAAAAACACCATGTAAGCAGGTTTTGTGCGGTTACAGAGGACATGACTGCATCAAGCGATTGTAGGTGACTGAAAAGTATTATTTATAGTCCGAAATATCTGACGTTTTCCTGGCTTTCTGACTATTTTTATATTTTAATTTACGTGCAAGGACAACGTCAGAACCGGCGCCTTTACGAAAACTGGGAATTCCCCGCCTCCAACCAGAGGCGGCATTCTCGGGTTGATTTTCGATACTTGCAAAGCGAATGAAATGTCTAACTCACAATTTATCAATAGTACAATGCTTCTAGTACTCACCAACGTCGTTTTTATGGTTTGTTTATAAAATATATAATCCGATGGAAACATTTTATCTGACTGTCGAGATATGTTTTCATTTCGTGCATTTATACATTTTTTTTTCAAGTCCTGTATCGAAATGATGAGTGATGTTTTTTTTTCATCGATATTATCGAGTACTAGAGGCATTGTGACAACGGCATTTACTCTGACTGGAGACGGCGAAATTTCCAGTTTTTGTAATTGCGCTAGTTCTGACGTTTTCCTGGCACATAAAATATCAAAAAGCCTGGAAAAAGGCCAGATATTTCGGACTGTATTATTTAGAGCATATTCATTAATCACTGATAAGGGGTTGTATGTTCGTTCGCCCTAAAACTTGTTCGCCCTTGACGCCGTTCGCCCTAATTCTCGTTCGCCCAGAGTCCGTTCGCCCTAAAACTTGTTCGCCCAAGGTCTGTTCGCCCTATTTATATTGCAGAAAGTTGAATAATAAACCAATGGATTTTTTTTAATACTTTATATGTACATTGGAATAAAAATTGCACATGGGAAACAACGGACGTATGCATAGTCACACTAAATACCTGTCCTATCAAAGACCCGGCAGACCAACAGAAATTCGGTAAATATTTTGGTTTTATTGCTCATCCGCTGCTCAGCTCCATAATGGGCCTATTAACGTCTCAGTCCTTTAATTGTTTTCAAAACATACCGCGGATTGTTAAAAAAAAACACGGATATGATCCCCTAAATTGCAGTGACATTATTAGGTATAATTAAACCAATTAAGCATGTAAAAAGCATTAATATCAAATTTGAATAGTTTAATAAAGAACAAATTAACTATGTCAACATTGGGGGAAAAGAGAAAAAAAAACACGACTTCAAGTCGTAAAATACTGAATAAAATAAATAAAATAAATCATAAATGATGATAAATAATAATTTTAACTATATACTGTATATATATGTATATATATATTAGAGCGAACGAGATATAGGGCGAACGAGAAATAGGGCGAACCAGAATGAGGGCGAACGGACCTTGCGCGAACGGACTCATGCGAACAGGTAGATAGGGCGAACGGACCCGATACCCTGATAAGGTCAAATTGGTAGATTTACACTCTGTATGTCTGTATATTACTGTTCTTTTGACATGTAATATTTCAAACAATATTTCACAAAATTCATAGTCATACCCGGTATACCTCATTACCTGTACAGTATAGCATTCATTTGCATTCAACAACAGCAGTCTGTTATTCCAGATCCAGTACACCAAAATATGATGTTAAGGTATCAGCACCACAACAAGTTGACAAAACTTTAGGTGGCCAATATTGATTCGAAAAGGGGGAGGGCAACTAGGATAACAGACTCAACTCTGGTTTCAAAATTTGCTCTTGTCCTAAAAGTGGGAGGGGAGGAGAACCAGGATTTATAAGTATTTACTATAGGAAATTTTGACTTCCCAAAAACGTGGGGGGAGGGGGGTGCTATTCCTCCTACGCCCTTGATCAGGTTGGGCACAATTGCTGAATATGAGACTATTCCACAAATGTGAGACTGTGTCTGTTTTGCAAGATGAATTTCAGCCATATTTGTCTGTTTTTCAAGTACTAAAAAAATAAATTTCCTAATTTTGATCTCAAAGTTAAAAGGGTTCATGTTTATGATATAATATTTACATTTGCAAATGTTTTCTTTTGTATAACACTATTAAGAGCAACGCGTATCTATATCCGTATAAACACGGTTCCTCGCGTCATAAACATTCGACGTAATTTCTCAGTGACATCATAAAAGGTCGACGCACAATCAGTGGATCAAATACGTGCCGTTGAGTTTGAAAAATAAAATATTTCACGCGTTAAATATTGTAATCAGGAAAATATAAAATATGAATAAGTCATAAATGTGAATATAAGTAATAATGTGACCAACCTGTATTTATATCCCGATAGATGTTTAAAAGTGATACATTATTTCTTAACTAAACAATGTTTACAAAAGAAGAACATTTGTAAATTTGCCGTTTTCGAGATTATAGCTGCAGAACATGTGCAGCTATAATCGCGAAAACTGTACATGAAATGCATGAATGCTTTTTGTAAACATTTTTCAGTATGTCCTAAAGATGAGCCTTTATAACTTAGAGAACAAAATTCGGACATTTAATTTTTTATTATAAAGCAGACAAATTTTGTTGAAATTCATCTTGCAAAACAGTGACAGCCTCGCATTTGGGATACTCTCGCATTTGTGGTGTTGTGCCCAACCTGTTGATTGGTTTCAAACAGTACAAGTAGATAGAACGTGCCGAGATCTATTAAATGGCATGTTCACTTCTGACCTTGACCTAGATATTTGACCTTGAACTTCTGAATTTTACATTTAGCTCTGTTGTGAGAAAACCATAAGGTAAATTAGTTTCAATTATCACATGTAAATAGATCGTGATGAAATCTACTGAATGGCATGTTCAAATCTGACGTAAACCTTGGTATTTGATCTTTACCTTGAAATTCTGAATTATATGTTTAGGTAATTCTTCACTTCAACTAAAGCTTCACCATGGGCTATATCATCTTTAGTGGTTTTTTGTCACACATTCATCATGGGTGATGAGAGGAAGACATTGGTACATTTTGAGGTCAAAGATCAAGCCTCATATCACAATTAGACCTTGTCAAAAATCACATTCCACAAAAACTATACTTTGTTCTATCAGAAATTTTCCAATGGAGCCCTTCATGACTTTTAATATCAGTGTTTTAGTTCACCGAATTTTCTTAAAAAATTTTTCAAAGGATTTTCAATTCAAATTTTGTAAAAATAGTTTATCTTCATCATAGTTGTGTATTGTTTTCTAGGTGTGACCCAGTTTGTGTGCAGTTTCAGATCATCATCAACCTCTGGATGTGGACTGATTGATTACAAGAAGACTTGGCCCGAAAAAATATTACCCTTGACCTGCTGCCAAAATTCTGTAGATTCACATCTACAGAAGCATTCCATCAATCGCAGAAGTATACAAAATGAATGTGACTTAATAAAGACGAGGGCAGGCCTTTTTAATGAGGACGATGAAACACTTACCATCTGCCCAAAACACAGGTATTACACTATACATTTGTATATGTTACATGTATTATGTATGTAATTTCTGGTAAATATACAAGCTTCTTGAGCATGCAATATATATTGTATTCTCAAACACTTGTTTATTTTATTTTGATATGTTGCCCTACATCAACATTATAATGATTTTTGCCTTCATAAAATGTCATATACTCAAGTGCATTCCAGATTGCTTGTGTTATTTATTTTTAAACTGTTCTTGAATTATAGATACATTCTTGGGGTTGGGTGGAGATCAAGCAAGATGTGTTCCTTAGGATGGAAATGTGCCAAAAAGAGCCGGAGCAATTCAAAAGGAACCATTACAAAAGAACAATCATTCTTTCTCAAGAAACATCATGATGTCCTTATACAAATTGGTTCAGGTTTGCTGCTGTTTTTCTTTTCAGTATAACTACACTATAATGCATTTTTATTATGCCTGCTGTTAGCCAGCAGAAGCATGTAGGGATCACTTTGTCTCAATGCTTGAGCATGTGTTTAGCAGGGTCATTCGTGTTCTCAAACACTTATTTTGATAAGAAAGGGATTTTATTGCAATCACCTTGTCTCTCTGTTCCTTTGTCTGACAGACAAGTGCATGCAAATATGTTGTATTGTGTATCTTGAAGCAAATTATCAGTTTGTATGTCTGTTTTGGTAAAATATTATTTTCTATCATATCTTTTGTTTGAAAGTAAGTAAATGTATTTCCTGGACTGTGCTGATGCAGAAAAAAGGGAGGCTCTGCTTCATTAATTTTTGTGCATGCATTCAAAATTTTTGCATTTTCATAATTTTTGCAGGAGTATGCACCAACTGCAGGAAAGAACTGGTACAAAAAATGGTAACAGCTTCTGCAGAAATGGAACAAGAAGAAAGTACAAAATGTAATGTAAGTAGTGACAACAAAGAGTGTAATATTTGCACAAAACCAGGATATCCTTGCAATTTCTTTTTTCTCCAAAACAATGACACTTTTGTGTCTTCTGCAAAGCATAGCAAACTTAGTGAAAATTTTGTAAGGTGTCTGTCTATCAGTCCATCTGTCTGTCATACTGTAGATATCACAGCCCATAACTTTTGAATAAAGTGTGATTGGATACTTATATTCACATGTGTGTTGTTTGTGACAAGACCTTTCTGCAGTTACAAAATGGAGATATGATGTTCTTTTTTAAAAGATAACATTGACCATAACTTTTACATGGGAAGTGATACAGGGAGTTGATATTTCACATATTGATTTCTTGTGATAATATCTTTCGCTGGTCAAGGTAAATATTAGAGTCAATAGGAATGCAGGTGACACATGTACCTTTAACACTGTAGTTATTTCACGTCAACAAAGTTGAGAAGAACTAATTTGGAGTATCCCCTTTGTCCAGTTTAATGTCTTGTATCATATCTCAGCCACTATATGCTATAGGGTCAAGTAAGTTTGTAAACAGGTGTAAAATATTTTCAGGAGAATCATGATGATAATGAGTTGCAATGTGAACTACCAAATGACCATGAAGTTCAAGCAGATCCAATGGATATTGAACAAATAAAGGTTTGTGTTGAAATTTTTACATGTACTGAATTATTATGCCCAAAGAGCAGGGGCATATTTTTGTTTGTCCTGTCTGTGTATCTGTTGTCAACTTTAACCTTTGCCATGACTTTTGAACTGTGAGAGATAGAGACTTCATATTTGGTATGCATACTCCACTAATGAAGCTCTTTCAGTGACCTTGAGACCTTGACCTTTATGCTAAAACTAGCTTTTCTAAATTTGTTGCCGCTGGGGGCATACTGTTTCACAAACTTATCTTGCTTTAAATTACTTTTAGCATCAGCTTGTTTATTGTAAAGTATCAGCCACTATATGCTGTAGGGTCATGTAAATTTGTAAACAGATATGAAATACTTTCAGGAGAATCATGATGATGATGAGTTGCAATGTGAACTACCAAATGACCATGAAGTACAAGCAGATCCAATGCATATGGAACAAGCAGAGGTTTGTACTGAAATTTTTACATGTACTGAGTTGTTTAAAATTACTTTGAGCATCAGCTTGTTCATAAGAGCCCCGACTCAAAGATGCGGGAGCCCTATAGTAATCACTTTGTTCATCCATTTCTTTGTCAAGCGATAACTCAAGTGCTATTTGTCCTGGAAACTTCAGACTTGAAAAGCCATTTGACCTATGAACTTCATATTTTATACACAGACAAGAGGCCTAAAATGGGCCTATATTGCTCACCTGAGCTTGAGTCAAAGGTCGTGAAGGACCATGATATCATGAGGCACATTCATGTCATGTATGAAGCTGTTCTTTTGAGGCAGGTAGGAAATACATTTCAGACAAGAAAATTTCATTGAAGTCTACTGTGACCTTGGCATCAAAGTCTGACCTTGGGTTAGGGTCATGGCACACCACCTTATCATGAGGAGCATTGTATGCCAAGTATGAAGCTGTTCCATGAGGCATATAGAAATACAGACCTGACAAGAAAACTTCATCAAATTTTACCTTGACATTGAAGGTGTGACTTTGGCTCAGGGTCGTGAAACATTGTCTAAGCATGAGTAACATTTGTGCCAAAAATGAAGTTGTTTTAAATTAAGTTGTTAGTTGGATTTATTTTGTATCTTTCTTTTGTAGGTGGAATCAACTACAGACGACAACTTTTCCCAACCAACACCTTTTGGAAGTCAGTTATCATCTGAATGGCAGGATTCTCAAGAGCATGAAGATAGTCCATTACGTAAAAGGAAGGCCTTGAATACTTTTCTTGATGCCATAGGTGTTAGTCCAATCAAAAAAACACTAACTGTCGAATTTGAATCTGCATCAAAAAGGACACAGAATGATTATCTAAAAAAATCAAAAGATATTATTCACAACATCATTTCTATCATCGCCCCTAACCAAGAGGCTCTGTTAGAAAAGGCTATTTATTCAAGTAATCCAGACAACGAAGACACAAGCATTATTGAATCTATTTCAAAAGCTTATTCTAGCATGACCAGCTGGGGAACTCAGAGACAACTTCTTTCTTTATTGGTGGAGGACCACAGTTACAATGAGATTAAGGAGTACATACCATCTCTGTCAAAATACAAGTATACTGCGGCTCATAAGCATGCTGCGATCAATGGCATTGGCATGCCAATAGAGAATAGATCACAGACAAGAGAAAAAGCTACAAAGGAGCAGATAGAACATTTCTTAGAGTTCATAATGTCTCCAGCAATAATGACTGATTCCCCATTTGGTACTTGTTCATATAAAATCTCTTCAGGAATCACTTTGAATGTTCCCAAAATAATTCTGAACAGTGTACGGACTAGAACTGTATCATTATATATGAAGTTCTGTGAGGAAGTAGAGTTTCGAAATGTTCTTTCTGAAAGGTCATATATGAGGATCTTGGAAGCAGTTGAACCAGGTATCAGGAAGTCAATGAGAGGACTTGATAATTTTGCCGCTGGTGGAAGCCAGGCTTTTGATGACCTCAAAAACGTTGTTAGAGTATTAGGTCAGCTTGGAAAAGGACACGAATGGTCAGAGAAGATGACTGGCATGCTTAATGAAGGAAAGCAGTACTTAAAAGTTCAATACAAGGTACTACTAACTTTTAAGATGAAATCGTAGATTTGCTGTAGATTCATTTAATTTTGGGACTACCAACATTCACCTAAACCTTCAGCTCAGGTGAGCTAAAGTCATAGCGCGTAGTCTGTCTGTTGTCTGTTATCTTTTCACGTTTTCCACTTCTCCTTTGCAAGTACCCAAGTCCTTTAAGAAGTTTGTGTTTTTTGGGCTGAGCCATCAACAGATACAGCTGCATGGCCTCTGATTGGCCGACACATTTTCAACTTCTCTTCTGCAAGCACTGTGACCCAATTAAGATTTCTATTGATTTTAGGGTCAGTCGGTCAAAATTCAAGCTCTCATTGTCCTTGTGTATGAAAATAATTTCTTGACTCAAAGTATACTTTGCAGTTGTTTTCAATATAGGATCAGTACATGACTGTGGGTCAAAGGTCATGGCCTCATTAACTTTTGTTGTGGCAGGGTATTTGTCCTGTGGGACAGCTCTAGTTTGATTCTGATAACATACAGACAAATGTGAAATGGTGCTCACTACATGTAAAGGTTTCTTGAATTGTCATAAATTTTTTCTGTGTGTTTTGATTTCTGTATGAATTATTATTCACTCACATACTCATCAGATGAAATTAAACATTTTCTTGTTGTTATTTTCAGTTGCACATCAGTGAGAACTCTGAAATACCTGACCACTGCTGTACTCATGCGCTGTCATCAGAGGACACTGCTTATTCAAAAGCATGTGACCATTCACATCAGAAAGTTTGTGATGAATGCAATGGCATCACCAGTCTATTGGATGAGTTACAGGGAACAATTAGTTGCCATGAGGTTAACTTCACTGATCATGACCAAAAAGATGACATTCAATATACAGTTGCAGAGGTATTTAAACCAGAACATAAAATCAATATTTGACTTGTACCGGTATTATTACGTACCTAGTTGTCAAGTGACCAAGTACGGAATTATATCTGGGTAGTAGGTTTCATCCTGTTCCTGGTCACTCTATGACTAGGTACCGATTTTACCCCACCGATGACCATTTTGACATTTACCATCTTTTAAAAATTTGTCATTGCTTCATTATTGCCGCCTGAAGTTTACCTGCTGTGACGTCAAATAAACAATGGAAATAAAGTGATGTCACAATATGCTCACAATTCATTTGAAGGTTACAGCTTATAAAGTTGAAGGTGACCAGATAAAAGATACACACTGCTTTCACGTGACTATTATGAACCAATCACTGACCGAGTTGTCACTGCAAACTAGTGAGAGGTGGGGTAAAACTTACAAGGTGTTTTTTACTGCTGAGTTTTATTTAAGGTATTAGATATTCCTGGAAAATTTGCACATCCATCCAGAATCAAACACCTAAGAACATCCAGTGTTAGACATTCATTGCCTCTATTTACATTGCTACTGAATTTTAGATAACCTAATTTATATAAGGGAGATGTATGTTACATGTAACAACATCAAAACTTAATGTGATACACTTATCTACTTGCAGAGTGTGAAGTTGATTAAAGAATGGAAAATGCACATTATTCGCACAGTAAACCAAGACAGAGCAAGAACGAATATTTTGAAAAATATGAAGTCGGATGAAGCACTTCTAGAAAGAGATTGGGCTATGAAGTTCCTTCCCCTACAATACAGGTATTTTCTCAGGGTTTTGCAATACTTTTAGGCTGATTACATACCTTCACGTAATTTTTCTCTTGTAATTCATAGGTCACTATCCCCTCACAACAAGGTTACAGGGGGATATTGTAATGTCAGCGTTCATGGGTTCTTGGATTTGTCTCTCTGTGTGTATGTGTTTGCATGAAAATACATTGTAAGCAGGATACAGGTTACAGTTTTGATCCAATAGATTTCAACTTCATATGAACACTGTCCTTGCCTCCATAGCTGAGCTGCCACCCCCATCACCAAATCTCCCTAACACTTATCATTTTGAATACGTGAGACTCCCCCCTACCCCCGCTTTCCTCTACTCCACACATGCTCATACTTTATATATATATATACATACATACATATATATACATATATATAAATCTATATATATAACTGAGCACCCTCACTCCTTTATAATTTCTAACAAATTGTCCCACTTTCATACCCACTTTCTTCTTATGGTCCCAACTAATAACTTCTAGTTCCACATGATAAAGCTAATCCTCAGAAATGAGTTTGTAATTGGAATGATATTCTTCCCTTCATAGACCAGGTTTTGTGTGAAAAATCTTCTCTATTCACAACTAACACACTTCAAACATGTATCCGTGTTTATTCTGTTCATTGTCAAGCAAGTGATCAGGTTTTCATGGAGTGAAGCTCAAAATTTGTTTTCAATCTAGAAGTAAGACAGTGCTTCATTTTATTACCCCCTCCCCCACAAACAAGTTTGGGGGTGGTGGTGTTACATTGAAATTACCATGTCTGTCTGTCTGTCATCTGTTTGTCCAGACCGTATCTCTGCAGTTGTAAAATAAAATTGCATCATTGTTCTCAGGATTATTGCCCAGGACCTAAGGGTGTGGGTTCCCATGGGCAACTTAAGGGTCTCTTGTTACAATATTTTGAGAAATTTTGAGATTTTGAGAAACATTTCAAGTGACAAACTTACAGTGTCTTTGACTGTAATGTAAATACATTGTAACTTAGTATTGCTCAATTATTTCAGAGAATCCCAAGCAAAATGGTTTGCTAAAAGAGGGCTGTCATGGCATATCAGTGTTCTGTCATGGAAAGAGGAAGCCTTAAGATCAGCTACCTTTGTTCATGTTTTTGATATTGCAAATCAGGATGCAATAACATCAGCTGCCATTCTGCAAGATACTCTGGGTCGAATAAAGAATCTTAATGCAGCAATACAGAATGTTTATGTACGGTCTGACAATGCTGGCTGTTACCATTCAGTTTATGGCATTGGAGTTGTTCCTTGCATTAACCAAATGAACAGAAATGATATGAATATAAAACGAATGGATTTCTGTGACCCACAAGGCGGTAAATCAATTTGTGATCGAAAAGCTGCTCATATAAAATGGTACATAAAAAGATTTGTGAATGAAGGAAATAATGTCTTGAATGCCAGTGACTTCAAGGCTGCTCTTGAAAACAAGATGAACAATGTTCAAGTTATTGTGTCTTTGCCACCAATTTCCAAATCACCAAAAGTGTTGCTGAAATTACAAAACATCAGTCAGCTTTTTGATTTCAGTTATGACAACAGAAATTTGACTGCTTGGAAGCAGTATGAGATCGGAAAAGGCAAAACAATAAATTATGACACTGCAGGAATTAATTTAAATTGGGTAATCCCTGAAATTACTCCTAAGTCTGTATCCGAGGTCACATTAACATCTCCACCTATGGAAACACAGACAAACGTAAATTCTTCATCACCCACATGTCAAGAACAAGATGCAACAGCATCTTCATGTATAGATGTCAGCAACCAAGAAATGGTGGAATCGTCGTGTGCAGATGACTGCAGCAATGTATTCACCTGTCCAGAGGATGGATGCATATCTACATTTTTAAGATACGGCCATTTGTGTAACCACTTAGATACAGGAAACCACACTTTTTCAGTTGAGAGAATGGACTTGCAGGATCGCTCAAGATTTTCGTATGCTATCCTAATTGAAAATAGACTTACTGGTCCAAATTTGAATGGATCAAAAGATGCTTCTTCAGGTGTGAGCACTTTGGAGAGAGGATGGGCTTTTAAAAAAAAGAGAGAAGTCAAAAGATTTACTGAAACTCAAAAATCCTTTATGACCAAGAAATTCAACCAAGGTGAATCAACAGGATTCAAATGTGAACCTGAAGAAGTGGCACGAGAGATGAGAAGTGTAAAAAATGACAATGGTGAACGAATTTTCCACTATGGAGATTTTCTCTCAGCATCTCAAATTGCAAGTTTTTTTAGTAGACTTTCGTTAAAGAAAAGGCAGATGTCTAACACTGACTATGAAGAAAATGACTTGACAGCTGAAGGGAACATGAACAATTTGAATCAGATTTCTGATGTGGCTCTTAAAGCAGTGAACTAAAATACATTTTCTAACTAAAATAAAGATTTTAATATCAAAGTTTTTGGAAGGGGATATAGGAATCACCCTGTTTGCTTGTCCATCTGTCTGTGGACAACACTTGGATACGTTCAGCGAATCAGTGTTTAGGTCTGTTCCTGCTTATGGCAAGTGGTATACAAACCAACCTTGTATGGATGGTTTGTCTGTGGATGGTGTGTCCATTGAATGCTTCGGATGCTGCAAGTGACCTACATTTTATGCTTTAGTGACTTTGGTAAAGTACAGCTTTTATGTCTGTTCCCACATTATTACAAGTGGTATATAAACCAAACTTGCTTGCATGGTTTGTCTATGACTGCTGTGTAAAATGAATGCTGCTAATGCTGCATGTGATCTTCATTTTATGCTTGAGTAACTGATTAAATTCATCATATAGTACTGTTGATAGTGAGTGATGTTGCCCCATAAGGGGGGGGGGGGCATTTGTCCTGTTAGTACTGCTCTAGCTCTAGTTGGTTGGATAAACATGATAAAGAAAGAAATGCTTATGAAAGAATTTGCTTAAACTTAGACTAACATAGATAATATCTGAAATCGAATGTGTCATACTTCTTGTTTACTGTGCATAAATGTACATTGAAGAACATTTATAATTATTTCTAGCAAAATATCTCTGTAAAATATTTGACTGTACACTTCAGAAAACATTTAGTCTCAGAATCAGATACCAGATATGCTATAGTGGTGCCTAGTTGTGTCGCGTGCATAGCAAGGGGACACTTAGGGATCACTTCTCCATCGTCTGTCAGTCTGACCGTCTGTCCATCAGTCCATCTGTCTGTCACACTTTGAAATAAGTCATCCGCAGGAGACACACATATTCGATGGAACACTCTTGTTTTACGTTCATATCTGTGATACTTTTAGTGAGCATTGATATTTGAACCAGTTGATTGATCTTTGATAGTAAAACAAGATAAACTTTAATATGAAGTTGCTTTAAGCTACATTTTCACAAGGGAGCCTTGCTGATGTTTAGGTTTATGTTCATGTGAATAAGTATAAGGTCGTCTTGTGTTTCACCGACACTACCTCTCGTTGTTTTTAGGTTCATAACGAATAACAAACATGGTATAGCAATGAAAATTAGCCAGAAGATAGAGCTTTGGAGTCCCTTTGGGTTGTTGCGTCATTTTGACATATAATTTCGGTTTTCGTTATATCATATATGGTGAAGTTTTCGCGTATTTGGTCCACATTTTGACTATATTGTATGAGACATTGTACAGCAATGATACTTATTATTACTTATATAGGGTAAGTACAACAGGGTTGACAGTTGATTAGTATGCCATGACCCAAATATTCCACTTGAGAGGCTTTATTTTCCTGGGTATATGTTTCATGTTTTGCTGATCCCAGTCAAGTCGGTTGCTAGGGTATAAATTTCGTTGCTATGGAGATTTCTTTTCCTATTGTTTTGTAAAAAAAGTCATACATTTTGTGGAGATTATTGTACAGTACTATGTTTCTGTAAATTTGGTATCTAACTGTCAAATATCTGTTGTAATATTAAAAAAAATTGCCAAAACGTGCGAAAATCCATTGAAAGTGTTTTGAAAAAATTGCGAATTTTGATTTCTGAAAAAAAAAATTGGGACATCCAACTACCAATTTTTTTCATATTACTTCATAGTATTGGGATATATCTTTAACTTGATATGACACACAATATCTCGGGTTGTTGCGTTTTTAAGTATTCAACTTTTGAAAAACTTAATTTTCCACAGATATTCACATCATGAAAACCTTGTCATTTTTCGGTTACCATAGCAACCATATCAGAATTTCAAAAAATACTTACAGACATACAGATATTTTCTCCTTATGCATCTTTCATTATTTCAGTATCAAAAAACAAATTTAGACCTTCCAATTGTTCCCCCTCTGCACTTGAATATGTCTAAATTTGTATTATTTTACAATGTTTCATTGAGAATTTACTATGCAAATCACATTTGTTGCCATGGAAACCAATGATAATGAATAAATTTGTTAAATTTGTCTAAAATGTGTTTTTTGTTGTTGTTCAAATGTTTTAGGGTGGTTTTTGCCCAATTTAAAATTTTTGACTTTCCATGTAAAGCTCAATGGTTACTGACACGGCCTCTTTAAAATGATTTTATAGGAGTTGTGACATTAGTTTTGGATCAAGCCTTGTATAGAAGTTAAAGAAAAAAAATTAGCATTTAATGTTTTGTTCCTATTGGCAAATGTATGTTGTTATGTTTTATTTTATGCTATCTAAATTGTAACCGTACCCATTATAGAATTTTGGATAAATAAAAAAATATTTCATTCAAATATGATATTCAGATATTTATTCCAAAATACCTATTTTGTGTACTATAATAGGATGCAATATTTAAAACAGAAAAAAAATTCTTGTCCCTAAATTTCATTGTTCTTATGCTTGGATTCCAAGGTTGATATCTTTTTCAATTACTCTCTGAACCTGTTGAACACACCATTTCCAATGTTTTTAAATGAAAAAAAAATCAGTTTTCAATACATATGTGTCATTTATATGCACTCACTGGCTGTAAATTACGTCAAAAATGATTTTTTTTAATCCAATCAAAATATGAGAGAAATGTTCCTTTTTTCTTGACATTTTTGTTTTGCTATGGAGAACATAGATAAGATATTCATTTTAAAGGGCCATTTGAGACATATCAAATATAGTTCTTTATATCATTCATGGACAATTTAATATTCACTGATGATATTTCATGTCATAATAATATTTTATATCATAACTGGTTACTACAATGAACTGTCAATTCAGTATCATCTTTGATTCCGAATCCTAGAAACCACTATTCTCGTTCTGTTGTTTATCTTTCTAGTAATACTTCGTTTTTTTTCTTTCGTATATCTTATTCTTAGATTCAACTGATAGGTACCGAAATGAAAATGTTATTAACTGGTTGACTATAGCAATATCAGTGTCTGGAAGTTGTGGTGTTGGATTTACAGTTTTAATGTGCACTTATTGTAAATATAGGTAGGTTATCACAAGTTATCTTTAAAACGTAGCCAAATTTCCACTTCAAGATATACTAAGTTTTCATGTTTTTAAAATAAAAAAAAAGAGTTTTATAACAGGGAAAAGTACTATTTTTCTTCACAGGAAAAGTGAATCAGAACGATCCCAAGATAAAGGTATCCTTGCTTTTATTCAAACTTAAAGGCTTATTCCTGTCAGGATGTTAAGTGCATGCACATTTCACATTTACAAACTACTTGTGCCTGTATGTCTTTTATTTCATAGAATTAGCAAAATCTTCAGGCATGCAGCTGAGAAATTCACCTGATCGTCCTACACGAGGAAATGGACCAGTGATGAACCTTTATAAAGAACATGATTCAAGTAACGAACATGGTCATTGTGAGGATTTTGAAACTTATGACACCTTAACCTTGAAAATCAGAAAGGATCTCTGACACGTAGAATACTTTCTGCATGTTTACAGTGTTCTAAAGAAAGATTGATACAACATATCAGTTACAATTATTGCCAAAGTAAACTGTTTCTATGGTGAAAATGAGACAAGAATGACTCCGCACTCAGAAAGAAGAAGGAAATAGATGATAAAATTTAATTGATGATTTCATCTTGTTAATTACAACCCCTCAAAGAAAGTAAAAAGGTATCACTATAGTATGAATCGCAATACTAATAGAAACATTTATAGTCGAATTATTATAGTAATCCTTTTGGTTCCGAAAATTCAACTGGATTGAAAAACTCAATTCTAACATTTTGGCTGCGACTTAAACATGTATATGAAGGTATTTTTGACGAATCTAATTGAATGGGTTTTTAAACTTTTTTTTATATAAAGTATGTACAATTTATGAGCGAATCAGAAAAGAATAAAAGTTGAACATAGTAATTTTATTTAATATGAAAGTAAGATCCAGAATCGAGATGAAGGTTGTTGCACACAATAGATTGTAAATAAATGTTAATTTTATGATTCACTTTAATTTATAGATAAGTTTTTCAGACAAGCGTGAAAAATCGGTTGTATTTGTGTGTAATGATTAATAAAATGACAATGATTGTGGCAGTGCAGAGTTTTTTTTTTTTTTTTTACATTGCAGTGCTTCGGAGTGGTACATTTACCATTTTGCAAGCCAGGGTTTACGATCCCTTTCTCTTCCCTCTCACTTCAGAGTTAAAAAAGAAAAGCGGAGAGTAAATCTTTGGCCTGCAAATATGTGACAATATCTAACAAAAGTAAAATATGTTTTATCCTCTGAGAATTAATAAGAGATGCCCCCCCCCCCTTCTTCGGTCGGTTGATTCATATAATACGGATGACTGATGCGATCATTTTATTGTTCTGGCATTTTATAGCTATACATGATTTTCTTCAATTAAAATGATTTTTTGTTGATATTTATTTTGCTTTAAACGATATTTTGTGCACATCTATGATGATAAATCCAGACAGACCAAATACTGCTTAAGAAGATTCTGGTTTAATCCCAAGAGGAAACATATCTGACTAAACAATAGCAAAATTGATGAAAGATTAAGCATCATCTCCTGATCGAGAGAAACTTTATATATTGATTAAACGACTTATGCTAAAAATAATGCGCTGATGTAATATATACAGGAATAAGGATATATCTTTGATCGATAACTTAATATGTTGTGAATTCTTATTACAAACACTGAAAAAATTGTTATTTGTCTTTTCAATATTGCGTTAAGTTAATTTTATGTTGTCATGGTTTGTTTGTTTTTTTTCCCTGGAAAAATACTTACCTAGCCAAGATGTATGCATGAAATATATGGAGATAACGAACAGTATTCAAGCTCAAAAGTCCATTATACAATACAAAATAGGAGCAGAGCAAACACGGACCTCCAAACATCAGAGGTGGGATCAGGTGCCATATATAGGTGCATATATAAACAAATTTATACAAAGGAACTTTTAAATTCATATTCACTTATATTAATATACACCCTGATTGAAGCTTTAAAACTATCCATTGAAGCAAGGAGGTGTTGTTAAAGACCCTTTTAAACGTGTAGAATCTACCATCAGACGGAAGAGAGTCCAGTTGAGACACCTCAATAAAATTTTTTGTGATGTAATTATCAGTTTCTTTCCTTTCACATGGTTGTTTTATAAAAATTAATGATAGACATGCAAAATACATAGTCAATGTACCGAGTCAAATCGGTTTTTTAATACAGAATCAGCAAGTTTTTGGCATGGCTAGTTTTAATTAAAATTCAGAAGGTTGCTATCCTAAATTTGCCAGCATAAAATATATCTTTTTAAAATCTTTTTCAAAAGATTAAAACCACTGTCATATTAACGAAAAAAGGAAAGTTATTTGCAAAATTACATTTTGGTCAAAAAGATATTTTCACGCTAGTAATTTTAAAGAAAATCATCAATTTTGCAATTTTTTTTTTACATCAAACCAAATTTTTTGGTCTCAGTCGTAAGTTCTTTTCTAAAACGGGCTCCAGGTACATGTAGTAGGTCATTCGGGCTACTATGGTTACCTATGTACTAATCTGGCGAGTCTAAAGATGATTTATCTTCACTATGAAGTTGATCTTCATGAGTTCTTATGTTTTTGTGGTAATTTGTCATCATCTCATTCAAAGTTTCAGCAAACCTCTCACTGCAGTGTCCATGCTGAATATGAGAATTAATTTGAAAAATAAAAAAAAATATTTTCGCAGAAAAGAAGCACATTACAAAAACGAAAAGCACGAAAAAAGAAAGAAAGAAAAATACAAATGTGGACATTTCTCCATGACATGATCTTTTAAGTCTAGATGGAGACGCCACCACTTGTCGGTGGAGAGCTGCAAATTTTGTCCTATGCTCGGCACTTACGGCCATTGAGCAGTGAGGGATCTTTTTCGTGCCAGCACCTACTGCGACACGGGACCTCCGTTTATACGGTCTCATCCGAAGGACCGGTCTCCACGTCCCACAGTGGGATTCGAACCCACGAAGTAAGGATCAACTAATTACTCCGCGACTCTAGAGCAGACGCTCTAACCACTGCGCAACGCGGGCGACTAATTGATGAAACATACAATCAAATAACATTTTACTCCCAATGATGTTTTATTTTCTTATTATTTCTTTTTAATTCTGATGTATATTTGTGTATGTAATGTACCATCTGTTTTGGTAATACATTTTAAACAAATTAATATTTTATCAACATTATCGGTAATTCCTTTTGTAAATTTATTTCTACTCTTCAACCTATTGTGATATTAAATTTAAGAATTAGAAAAGCATTTTGGGTAACACACATATATCGCAGTTATAAAATTTTTAAGTATACAATTATAATGAAATCTACAAATATATATGTATTTTCATCGTGTACTATATAACCCAAATATCACAAATATATTTCTTCAAAGACATTGTTAACAAAACAGTTGTCCACCCTGAAGATAAACACTAGTTGTGGTGTTACATGTTAAACTGCCTGCTAGATCAACATACTGTTTCTGAAAAGTGAAACGCTTACGTATACTTACCTTCTGTGGTGCAGTCATAAATTAAGAATTCTTAATTTGCTGAAAGATTCGTTTCTAGATTTTTTTGCTTAAAAATGAGATGTTATTGAATTCTATATGTCCTTTGATATATTTGTAGTACCATTTGCCTTAACAAGTATTTATGATTCTTTTAATACTAAATCGTTTTTGAAGCAAGTCATTGTGACGTAGGCAACCCAATTAACACGATAAAAAGGATTTTTTTTTTTATCCAATCAACCACTGCCTTATAAGTAGAATTAAATTATATATATTGATGGGAAACATACTATTAAATACAGCGGTTGTAATGTAAATATTTTATCACGCATTGTAAAAATATACATAGACAACCAAAGTTGGAACATGTTTGTTGAAACACGCTGTATCAATAAAAGTGAAAACTATTTTTATACATTGTATATCTGGTAGTAAAATTTTAGAAAGTTGCGAAGTCAATCGGGTAA